GTCTGCAGCATCGAGACCCGCGGGTGCACCTTGGGCGGCAGACACTCTAGATCTCACACATCCAGAAAGTGGATTCATGTGCTTTGCAGCTTCTTTGGCATCGAGAAGTGCCAATTGGGGATCAGCACCTCGATCCACACTAGAAGGGGCATCTTGAACCTTTGCGACCACCAGAATTCAGAGAGTGTAGAAAACTGGATTGTGGGTTTGAGTCCCTACCTCGACATTCGGTATCGATGAAGCACCTTCATGATCGACGGTTGGGAGAACGGCGTTGGGGTCGTGGGTGCGGGAATCCTTTGAGCGCTTTTGTGCGATCTCAGCCTGATCCAGGACACTCATTGCGTATGCTCATGGACTCACAGAAATCCTTTTAGTTGCATCCTTCATCTTCCCCAGAAACCGACGGACTTTGCCACGGGGTCGACCCTAGACGAAGGATGCATCAGAGTCAGCGTTTCGAGCACTTATAGTGAGTTTCATGAATGTGAGCCACGCACCGAGCTTTCACCAACGATTGGTTCGCTGGATACGCGGATTTCCGGAGGAGAAATTGGACTCGAACGCCTTGATTGATTGCCTCTACGCATTGTGGTGATAGGTAGTAATTGTTGAAGATTAGTCTGAAGCGAAGTAGAGTGCGATAACCCGTTTTAGACAGGGTGGATCCCACAGCCCTACCAGCGCTAGTAGCCTCGAAGCAATGTTCACTGATTTCAACTGCTACTTAGCTTCATTCGGTGGGCGCCACAAAATTCCGGGAAACTCTTTGCCGATCGCAGAGTCCAGAGTCCAGACCAACGTTATATGACTAACGCCACAAGTTCATCGTCCGGACCGTTGCACCGAGTTGCATTTTATAAACCGTGTCTCTTAAGCCTCACGAGCCAATGATGCTGCAGCGATTTCACGTTCGCAGGAGAGGAAGAGTTCGAGGCCGTTCCTGCGTCTGTGAGGTTTTGGTTGATTATGACCAAGGTGTACCCTCCCCTGATCCCCGTCCGTCACTAATCTACTCGAAGAGTGCATGGTCAGGTACCTGAGCGGTCATGTTTCATGTTTCAAACTCTGAGCCTGCCCCGCCAGCAAACTCGGCTTGCACTGATCATTCTGCAAAAAATCACCGTGAACATCGTTAAGCGGACAGTAACGACAACCAACCAGATCTACCCCCTTGTGTGCGTTTCTCGATGGGCTCCAGGTTGATGTGTTGAGACAGTTCTCACCGCGTACATACCACCGCGTCACTTTTTGTCATCTTCGACATTGTTCACAAACTTGAGCTCGATGGCTTGTACCCGATTTCGATTTCACGTCGCATCTCTTTCCCACCACCACTACCATCCTGCCCCTTTCCAGAAGCATTCCAACTCGCCCGTTTACATCTACGACGGCCTCGATATAGCTGAGAAGGACCCTTAATGCCAGTGGACCCCACACTTCACCTGCGATCTATCTTTGGCACATGACCTGCATGCACACGCTCTAGACGTGGTGCTTATAGAGGTGGTTTTTGAGGCATGATTGCTAGTGTCTAGCGGTGGATAGCCAACAAGCGGATTTCGAGCATACGACTTTTTCCATGCTGCTCGTAACTTCTTGCACTCTTCTCATCATGGGAAGGATATTCTCCATCCTCTCTGGCATAGGCTCAGTCAATGCCTCCTTCTGGGTCCTCGGCTTCCTGTTCATCTTCTGTGTCCTCATCGTTTGGCACCATGTTCCTTCTGGTACCAACGCTATGTTACACGCATTCGCCGCTAGCAGCCGTTCTGTCTCTTTTTTGGTGGTATTTGGTGATGACTGATGCTTCACATCTTGATAGAACTACTCTGCTGATGTGATCTAACATCTTGGTTTCGGTAAACCGCTGGACCAAGCGTGGAATCAGTCTTGCAGGTACAATGTCCTTTGTAACTAGTATGTTACGGTCACTTCATAACCTGCGTAACCTTCTTCCTTCACGGCCTGACGCCCGAGACTCGCGTATCAATCATGAACGTATGTAATTTTCACTGCGTTATCTTATTCAACATCTTCCTTGCAAGTACGCACGATGGTATATTCAAGACCACGATTCCGGGATTCATCGTTATCGCATGCGAGGTGGTTATCTCGAGCAAAACACCGGTCATGGATCCACACGTCAACTTCGGAAACGCGTTCGCGGGGAGCTCTACAAGTAGCAACAATGTGTGCTATGCGATATTCACAGATGTGGATCGGCTGATTATGATCTTCGGTACACTACCGCTACTTTCAAAGTCCTGAATACCTACAGTGGTCTAACGTGAACGAAGTGACGTACAACGCCCGTGATCCTGTTATGACGCTTGAAATTGCAGGCCCGTCCGCCCTGGTGTATATGCGACTCTGTACTTTTTGCAAATGTTGCTTACCCGCCGACTGCGAGCAAGGTGAAAACCTTTTAGTCTGTGCCGCTGATGAACCTGGATGGACAAGCTGTCACGACGAGGTTTTGAACTGTCAAAATACCCTGAGGTTCAGCATAGAAGATAGTGTTGTGTAGACAACATGAATTCACAAAAACGACCATTTGACCTCCCACTCCACAACTGTTGCGAGAAAACGGAACACATCCAACATTCCACAGGTGCTACAAAAAGACGTCTAGGGAAATAAAGAAACGGTGGATAGGTACAGAATATTTGCTGTGGGGGAACCCTTGCGTCTGGATTGATCAGATTGATCGGATATACGTAAGAACTGTATTGAAGTGGCCAACTTTTTTTGGGTCGACAATCACTGCGGAAACGACAAAATAACCTGATAGGGTTGACGTAGAAGTAGTGGCAATAAATATACTATAACCAGAGAATGGCAAATGTGTGAATCCCCACTGGTTAAAGTGGAGAATGGTGACCATTTGAGAGCAAATCCTGAGGTGGGTTAGGCAATGTGGGCTTGTGTTGGATAGCTGCCCCCACATCTAACCCAACATACAAATCACATCTGAAATATCAGGTCTGCTGTCTGCTTTGCATCTGGTTATTAGGGCAAGCAAGGCTGCTTTGCTTCTGAATGATAGGCAAAAAGAAGTTTGATTAATGTAGGGTTACAGTCGCGTCTTCTATGGTACTTCCTAGGGATCCGCGCTCCCCATCGCGGGCCACCCCAGGTAATGAATACCTTCCCTCCTTCCCCTCCTTCTAGTGCCCAATGTTTGCTAATAATCAACATAGCTCTCAGCGTCGCCCTAGTGGTGCTGTCATGCTTCCAGGTGAAAATACTGGGGGCTATGATCAGGATAGCGGTCAACAGCTAGGGTTCCGCACGGGTAACACCGCGGGTCGGAAAGCTGACACCGTACCCGTACCCGCCAACACCGTACCCGTCACGGGTACGGGTACACACCGACCCGTCAACACCGCGGTTAGATGGAAAACACCGCGGTGTCTCTGAACACCGCGGGTACATTACCAAGAAGAGTGTATTAACAACAACTGAATAGATATTACTACTTTTCCTCATCGTCCTCCTCAGATTCGACTTCATTTCGCTTCCGTTTTTGACTCTTTACAGAGGCTAGAAGGTCCTCCATCGCCAGAAGATCACTTCTGCCCCAGGCTCCCAGGCAGAGAAAAGCACGAATCGTTGATGGTGCGAGTCGGTTGCGAGTAAAATGAAGGAGCTGCTGGCCAAGGATTTGAGGGTGGCATACCTGGGACGGAGAGATAGTCTAATACCATCCGATGCAACATTGGATAAGTACGGCAGTTGTTTTGCCACCATGCAAGTGGGTCCTTGGTCTTCACAGTTGGCAATCGAAGGAACTCGTCCAGCTCGCTACTGGTGGCATGAGACATGGAACCAAGTGAGTAGTCACCAAAGTCATCCTCATTCTGTACAGTTGTCAGTGTCAGTGTAGAATTAAATGTTGGATACAGACTACATCCGCTGCAGTGTCATCAGTAGTCTCGGCAGATTTCTCGTATTTATCAGTAAACTCTTCACGGACAAGCTGCTCGGCAGTATCGATCCACTCTTTCTCCCAGGATTGCTCACGGAAGTAGGCAAAAATCAATGGAAAGCAACGCACCGAGATCTGCAGTGGGATCAGGATCAGGATCGGCTGTTGCTTTGTCGTCGTCACTGGCCAACGAATCAGTACTTGATCGCGTGAGATCAACAGTGTCTGTGGGTTTCGATCGAGCAGACCGAGACACAAATGACTGTTTGACCTTCTTCAAGGGGCGGGCCAGAGCCTTAGCACCCTTTGCGATGGCCTTTTTGAGTGACTTGGCCTTCTCAGAGATGGACGACGAGATAGACTTAGACGATGGGTGGGTAGACGAGGCATCAGATGCCTTCTTTGCGAGCTTGGTTTTCATGGAGAGACGATTTGGTAGACTTACTGGTCTCGAGTTTTTGCCTTGGCTTTATGGTAGTGACTCGAGCTTCTCTGTAGCAAAGTGTCAGCTCGATAAATCGCTAGAATGATTCACAGGGGCACGAAAGACATGACAGAAATCAATATAGCAAATATTGGGTTGTGATCCTCAAGCACTCAGAGTAAGCCGACACAGAGAATTATAGTACGGTGTTCAGCTGGCTGTCAAGGTTCCCGATTTGGTAAGTCATACCCGTTAAACACCGCCAACCCGCGGTAAAGGGTCGCGGTATGGTCACGGGTATGAATATCCAACACCGTACCCGTACCCGCCAAACCCGTCAGCAAAGAACCGCGGTGTTACCCGTACCCGTGCGTTTCCCTATCAACAGCAAATCACAGAAGCTTACCGCAGACCAGCACCTCACCCATCGCCACTATTCCCTGGTAACTACATGCTGCCACAGGTCGACGAGTTTTTTTCGGGTGGTTTACAACAGGATTTAGGCCAACAAACACCAGCACCGCTGATGGGAGGCCCTCAACATGATACACCGTACCATGGCCATAACTCACTCACCCCATTCACAGGCAGCAACCCATCATCGCAGTCACAATCACAGGCTCCGAGTGGATCTCATGAGGGGGGCTACCAGCATATCTACTCATTTCGTCAGCCTCAACAAGTAGCACCACTGCGAATGGATCCTTACCAGCACGTTCCAAATACCCTTGAAGATCAAGTCCGGGATCTCAATGCGACCGTTGCACGCCTCGTATCTGAAGTCGCAAGACTGACAGAGTCGAACGAACACTTGTCGAACATAAGTCAACGAATCTGCCTTGATAATGCACAGATGTCAGTTGTTCACGAGAAGCTGACTGGTATACATGAAGCTCTCACCTTGCGTGTTGATGAACACGATGACGCTCTCAAGAGCTTGGGTGAGAAGCCGGTACAAAAGAACGCGATGACTCGATTGCAGTGTGATGAAGGGAGTGTCGATCGCTGGAGATAGGGCCACAAGGATACACCCCAAAGTAGCCAGTAAGGCATTACACGCTGCTCGTGGAAGGTGGAACTGGAGATGTAACCATGAGACCAGCGCATATATCGTGATCAGATGAGGGGGGGTATCTGTGAGGTCCCTGTCGCGTGTTGAGTTGAAACCTTCTTCTGGCAGAAATGGATCAGGGTCGTCCTCGTTTGGATCCGTGGATGACATCACGTTATTGTCTTGATTGTCTTGATCATCGAATATTCCATTGACATCGATGTCTAGGTCATCGAGACCATCCTCGTGTTGTAGAACTTGACTGTCTTCATTTCGGATCGCTTCGACGGCTTTTTCGATCTCGCGATCTAATGCACGCTGTTCTGGGTCATGCGGGAGGTGATGGGCTTCGTATGAGGTGAGGGGACGTGAGCTTGAACTGCTAGCTGCGTTATATGCGCTAAAGTGATCAACAGCGTCATGCAGTGCTTCAGGGCTATGGAAGTTGGGCCCGAGATTGGGCAGATTGGAACCATGGGTCATGAGGTCCACATCTTCTCCGGTTAGGAAACCATAGTCTAACATCTCCTGTTCGACTGGGGATTCCAAAATACGATGTGGGTCGTGAAATTGAACATCGGGAGATAACAGGGGCTGCGGGTCATGCAAGGGAACAGAGTATCCGCGAGGAACTGGGCCAGCTTCTTGTGCAGCGCTCGGCACGAACCGTTCACCAACCCGCTTAAATTGGGCCTGCGATGCAGCAGTTTTTTCTCGCAGGTCACGCCGTTCATGAGCGCGTGCGGTGTGCTCAGGTATGAGGACTCCATTACATCTGTAAGCCTGGCAGGTACACCTTTTTTGCCGCATTTTTTGACGGAGGGTCCTGCTGGTCAGCCGTGTCAAGGGTAAAAGCGCTTACAGATGATATGTTAAAGCTAAGGCCAGCTGGCGATGCGGCCCAAGCGCTTGCGACTCGGCGTCAAATCAGATATCACGTGTGACGTTGCCTTGTACTTGAGACTTGATGAGGGACTTAGCGTTGACTTAGTGAGAATTTACTTAAAAACCATCCCACCATAGACTCCAGGGTTGGGTTATGCAAATATTGTATTTCCAGACATCGGTTTGGGGTCGAAGTACGAGGCTGTGTGCGGGGAATGTGTTGGCCTAAGAGCCTAGAAAACCAACGTCCGTTTATAGTTTGCTTACAATTGTTAGGGACTAAACCGACGTCTGGTTAACTTCAGCTTAAGTCTTTTGGTAGCTCTGTGGAGCTCAAAAATCGTCCAAGTCGGATTTTAGTCTGGTTCAAGCACTAGGTACGCCCTACGTCGGGTTATACATCAAAGCTGTCTCGGGTTATGGGTGGGGCTAAATTGTCGTTTCCGCAGTGAATGGACATGCATCACTGTCTTCGCGTGAGCGAGATCCTCGAACTGATGCTTCTATTTTGTATTCGATTCTGCGAACATTGTTAACTAAAGATCCACCTTGTACTCATTGCCTGCCCTCTTACCGTCTCCAGACACTGAATATCACTACCTCCTTCGGATCGCACTCACCTGCCATGCATTTCACGATCCAGCACTCAATGTTCTTTATTCTAACCCCTGATACACTTACGGCCTCTATTCAGTCCCTGCCTGACCAACTGGTTCGCTCATACAGACCTTCCCGAGTACATAACACACCAGAACAGTTCCGCCCATTAGTTCTCCGCGCTGCACGCATCCAGATTCTCACCGATAGATACAACGAGGATGATGCATACGCGGCATTACTGCTTGCAAGTGCACCCAAAGATGCCTCGCTCTTTCCTAAGTTGCGCTCGCTCACATGGCGCGATCCGCGAATCGCCTCTATCCCAGCCCTCACTCTCCTCTTACCCGCCCTCGAGACCCTCTCCATCGATATCTCAAACATTCCATTTCGCAAACCCATCATCCCTAGCCTCTGTACCGCCACCCCGCACCTGAAAGCCCTCGATTTTATGGACGAGGTCGCGGACCTCGAGCCATTCCTGCTCAGCTATCCTGAGGGTCTTACAGCATTGTCATTCAGATGCTGCCATATCCCGAGCAAACTACTCTATACCATCACCCCGTGGCCACGCCTCTAATGGCTCACCCTCCAGCTGGGTGTCAAAAGTATTCATCCTCTACCTCTCCATGCCTCATAGCCCTTTCAGGCACTCACGCATCTGCATATCTCATGCGATGATCTGGGCATTTCGATTCATTCCTGCGCGCCTTCCGAATACTCACGGCGGATCCAGATTCTGATACATGTTCTATCACATGTCCCAACCTCAAAGTACTTCAGATCAACGCATCAGAAATGTGTAACCTGGCCAGTCTCTGGTCTGAACTGCTCAGCCTTTTCACCCGCACAAAGCTAGGGCACATCGTGCTCACCGAGAAGTGTTGCGGTTATGGTGTAAATTCCTGCTTCCCTCCCTCATCATTTGACCTTCACCCTCTACTTGCGCATGCCCCCTCCCTCGCAGGCCTCAAGATCCTTGTCCTCCACCCCGACCGCTCCGCGTCAATCGCACTCACCAACGCAGACATCCTCACCCTCGCTAGCACATGCCTATACCTTCAAATACTTGACCTAGGGGTGCGCAACAACCCCCCACATCCCTGTATGCTTTAGACATCCTCGTGAGGCGTTGCTGCGAGCTGCGCGAGGTCACACTCTGGTGGATGCGCGATTCGATGCGCTTGGGGCGGCACCTCTGAAGAACGAAGACAAAATGAGTCTGCAACCAAACGCACACCTGATCAAACTGGAAGTTGGAAAGTCGCCCATCGAGTGCGTGGACCCTTTGTGCCCATCGATGGCGCCAGGCTTGATGAGGTCGATTCCACGGTTCCTGCACGCGATGGTGCCACGGCTTAAGTGTGTCACAAATCTGTACGGAGTGTGGTCCCAGGATGGAAGCAGGGTCCGTGGGACATGATGTCGGGCGTTTTGTGGAAGATGGTGAAATATGAAGATGATGATGACGACGACGACGTTTGATGTTTTTTGGGGAGTGCTTTAGATGGTGTATGGGCGGCGAGATTCATCACGGAAGGGTTTAATGCAACAAGCTTTGGGGGTTTCAGGTTAACCTTACACAAAGTTTACATTGAAGGTGACTTGTACCAGAACGTGACCACTACTTTGCTACTACTAACTTGGTACTCTAGGCATCACTGGAATGAGAACTACATGTTTGGCATTGTTCCGTTGAGCGCCTATATTCTTGTGCTTCATACAATTCATCTCTCTAACGATTGAACTTGTTCTCGTAGAAAGCTGTTAGTACAAAACATTCAAATATTGACTGGCTACATATTCCCAAGAAAGCGCGCATCAAGAACAGTTCCTCGCATGCACGACGCTCGTCCTGGTCGTCCATCATGACTACCAGTCTGAAGCGTTTACCACAACCAGCTCCTGCACGTCTGCCTGCAACTCCAGCCCGAGTCTGGCCAGCATCTGGTGAGTTTCCGGTTCCAAATCTGCCAAGTACTTATTTCCTGGACAGACATGGAGGAGCTTCAACGTCGAACCTTATTCTGACAACAAAGCTATTGATCCCATCTAGAGCTTACTTGTGGTATGTTTGAAAATTTACCTGTATCGGCTTGCCTCTCATCCGCACAGAATTGAGTGATTTCAAGTCGTATCGGTGCGCCTACATTCATTTTCACAAAAATTAACCAGTTGATCTAATCAATCATGCTTCAAGTGTACCCTTTTAGAGGAGTGAAGCGACCGCCCGACGACCAACCAAGTACTATGACCTTCGAGGGATTCCTGGTGTACACGGTGGCCGTCCGCCGGGGGCCCAGGGCATAATCACTGTAGGGGGACCCCTAGATCTAGGCGGACCTATACGAATGGAGATATGATAGTTGTTCCCTCTAGAATATATACCCGCCGAATTTCCAACCCATCCTCTGCTCTTCAACTTTCTTCCCACTCCAGCATTCCGCAGTCCAGAGACGCCAGGTACAGGAAGCGATAAGCATCTGTTAAAGGTTCATTCAAGTCCCCGCTTTGGATGTCAACCCACACACTGCTCTAACCATGATCCCTGCAGTTGATGGGCGCATTGCTGTCCTCGCCGTCTTACCTATTTCCTTTGTTTTCATTATTGTCCTCGGGCGCCGGTTCATTGAGAACAGACAGAACAAACCTTCCCTTCCGCCTGGCCCAGCGCCGCTCCCGCTATTAGGGAACATCTTATCTATCAACACTAAAGAACCCTGGTTGACTTATACTCAATGGCATGCTGCTTATGGTACGTGGACAGACAGTTTAAGTAGTAAATTTGTGGTTCATAACATTCTATCAGGGGACTTGGTCTTCGTGCGAGTTCTAGACCAGGAAGCGGTCGTGATCAATTCTCAGCGTGTTGCAGAAGCCTTGCTGGACAAACGCTCTCGCATTTACAGTGATCGACCATACGTAGCCACGATCGAGCCGTGCGTTATTCAGATTCTGATATTTCTCGATTCACCCATTCTGACGTGCAGGCAGATTTGGTTTTTCGATCAACTTTGGATTCATGAGTTATGGAGACGAATGGCGTCGTTGCCGACGACTCTTCCACCAAACTTTCCGCCCCGAGTCTGCAGTCAAGTTTCTCCCGATGCAGATGAAACGGGCTCGTGAGATGATCGTCAATCTAATTGATGATCCTCAACACTATCATTCGCATTTCGTAACGTCAGTCAGTGCATTTGTAGATATTGAATGGTTATTAACATGTCCACAGATTCTCATTGTCTGTTGCGATGTCAGTCGTATATGACTACCAGCCCAACGCTCGTGACGATCCTCTGGTTCGGGTCGTGGAAAAATCATTGGCTCTTGGCTTTGCTGTATTGACCCAAGAAAAAGCATTCTTGCTCAAAACTTTCCCCTTCTGTGAGCTTAGTTCTTTGTGGCGAGAAAGAGTCGACAATTTATAGTCTCACGCAGTGCTGAAGTTACCTGACTGGTGCTGGGGATCCTCGATTAAACGTGATGCTCGACTGTCGACCAATCGCACGACGGAAATGATGGAGGTGCCATTTCGATATGCGCAGCAGCACATGGTAGGCCCATCTGTTAGTTTGGTCCTAGACACTGATTTTACACTTGTCAAGGTCGACAACTTGTCTCTTGAGCGGTTATCAATGGTGACAGATAATTTGCAACGGATGGAGAAGCAAGATCAGGCATCCAAACCCATATTGGAGACTGCCTTGAAGAAAGCAGCTACTACCGCTATGGCAGGTTTGTCGCAAATAGGTCAGTTTGCGAGGGACGTTGTGCTCACAAATGCGTACATTGCAGGTTCATATGAGACGGTCAGCAAATTTCCGAACCATTTTGGGTGCTACTTAACCTTTTGGCAGACTACTGGAACCCTGATGACTTTCGCTCTCGCCATGTCAACTTACCCAGATGTTCAAAGACGCGCACAAGCGGAGGTCGACTCGGTGATCGGAAGAGATCGCTTACCTACGTTTGAAGACAGAGCATCATTACCCTACGTTGAAGCAGTTCTGCGGGAGAATTTGCGATGGCACCCAATTGCACCCATGTGTAGTCTTCCTTTCTGAGTGATTGGCCTTTACTGAATATGATGTTATAGGTATACCACATGCTACCACGAGTGATGATGTATACGATGGTTACTTCATTCCAAAAGGTCTGCTGTTTTTGTCCGATGAACATATCATATTTGATATCGTACATCAGGAGCGACCGTTATATGCAATGCATGGTCAGATAGGTTCTCCCCAGCTGTCGTGATGCTAACCTTATTTGCAGGGGCATTTCACGGGATGAAAAGCGGTACCCTGACGCGTCTCGTTTTATGCCAGAGAGGTTCATTGATGTTGACGGCGCGTTGACGGATGATGACCCTGCGGAATACATTTTCGGCTTAGGTCGGCGTGCATGTCCAGGTGGGTTGTTACCTTGATGTTTTACAGCATGTGACGAGTCAAGACATTAATGTTCTTTAATCAGGCCGGTATACTGCTGATGCCTCTATGTGGTCTGCTATCGTGACCATGTTGGCCACAGTGAACTTTTCTTCCGCCAAAGATGACCAGGGCAATGTAATCGATTTCACTCCCCAATTCACGACGGGACTCACTCAGTACTTGGTTTCCTTGTGTCATTCCATCCTCCCGTCACTAACAATCAGATCGCTTTAGCTGCCTTATGGACTTCCCTTGCAGTATTTCACTACGTTCTCATATCCATCCAGGACTTCTGGATAATTCATGATCTCCGGTCAGAGAATTGAGCAACAATGAGCAGCAACTTCTGTGTGGAAGGACGGATTATGATGACAATTCCTTGTATAATAGATCCGATGATCAATCGTTGAACGCGTCTGCTGACCAACCCGAAGCTTGCCCACAGTTCTCCAGCCTGGTGAAAATTCACTAAGAATAATCAGTGCATGGGCAGAATACAATTAAGTTCTCTACTATCCGACAGCACGCGTAGAGAAGTCCATGGAAGGTAGGTTGAGGTAGATGTATATTGTGCGACTCCTGAGAGGGAATTGCTTGGGATTCATGTTCCAGAAACCACATTAACAGGCATTGAAAAAGGTGTCCTTCGATAACCTTTGGGGCTTGACATTTATCGCGCAGTCGTATTTCGCTTGCTCCTTGATGGTGGCCGCACGGTAGACATAATTTCTTCCAAGCATTCTGGCACCCCAGAGTCAAAAGTACTTACTGTTGCCAGTGTATCGTAATTAATCAGGTGCAAGAGCTATATTTGGCATTGTTGAGTTGTTGTTGAACGCTTTCATACAATGATACATTGCAACCCGGATCTCTCAAACCATTGAACGATGAACATGTTCTTGTAGAAAGCTGTCAGTGTCAGTATCACCGTTCACAGGTATGCAAATTCACTACATATTAGAAAGTGCCCTTCGGGAGCAAGGGGCAGCGCTAGCTAGTTCTTCGCATGCTCGTCCTGGTCGTCCGACATCATGATCATTTCCCTCCGAAGCTATTCCTCGTCTGTCTGCGACCGCACTCCGAGTCCGACTGGCGAAACTTATCTAGCGAATTTCCGGTTCCAAATCCGCCAAGTACTGTTCCTGGACAGACATGGGAGAGCTCCAACGAAACCTGATTCTGATAACTAATTGATGACATCTAGATCTAGAGCTTTCTCATGGTACTATGTACGAAAATCCCTAATAGTTGTAGGGAGTGCGGTTATTTCGGTTGACATATCATATAGTAAGTCTACGCGGTCTTTCAGTGCTGCCGCATACTCCGAAACCCTCCACTAAACGCGTAGCATCAGCGCTACAATAAGTACTACGAGGGAGATGCGCTGATGTCCAGTAGGTTAACTCAGAAGAACAAGTTGGTCGTCTGCGCGGCGCTCAACAGCGGCAATCAGTGAGTCTAATTTCTTCTCGCCCAAGCAGTTTGTCATTTGTAGGGCGAATTCGGCATTGAGGATATCGATGATTCTGATTGAGTGACGGTGTTTATTTGGAAGCTGGACCAGTGGTGGGGCTTGTCAGCGTGAGCGGTGAGCATCCTAGATGCTAGGTACGTAATCTGTACAACCCCACGATCATTGGTTTTTTTTTTCAACGTCTGACTTTGGTCTGACTAGTACACCCAACATGCACCGTTGTCTTCGCCTGACCAAGATCCTCGAAATAATATTCTATTCTGTGTTCAACGATAATTTTAAATATGTTTCTATACGCTCCCCAAACCATTTTCCTGACCTCTTACCATCTCCGTCCACTCAAGATCGGTGCTCAGTGCTCCACCTCGCACTCACCTGCCGTACATTTCGCAACCCAGCACTCAATGTGCTTTATTCTTACCTGGGGGAATTCTATCGGCCTCTTGTTAAGCCCCTGCCCGACCAACTTGTGAGAGGAGAAACGCGAAGAGAAACGGAAAGCATACCTGGACAATACCATCCTTGAATCCCTCGAGTGCTCCGCTATCGACGATTTCGTGGAGCGCGACGAGGCTTTGCTCGGCTGCACGAATGTTTCCGGAGAAAGTAAAAAATATGGTACCGGAGAGGAGCGTATGAATAACCAGGGAAGCATGAGCAGGATCTGATTGCGTGGTTTCCTCCTCTTGTTTGGGTTCCACATTTGAATTGTTGGTGATGTGCACTTGGGAATATTCGCGAGAGAGAACATGTCGCGAGCAGTTATAGAGTTCCAACGGGGAAGTGCATCATCATCTTTTTTGGCATTTGCGATTGCATTAACATGACCCTTGTCATTATTAACTTTGCCGTCCTTGTCGAACCATGTAATTGCGAGACACTAAGTAATCAATGAAGCGCCTATAAACAGGGCAGACATCATTGAAGATAGTTGATGCACCGGATCTCCATTGCTTTTCAGACTTCCGGCATTGCCTCCTGCTGCCCCATCATATTTGTCCAAGATCTGTGCAAATACCTCAGACACGCCGCTCATGTGCAAAATTCGGGAGATGCCTGCGTGTAGTGCGATGAAATGAGGGTTAGGTAATGGCAAGTCTCGTGTATGGGCATCATGATTCCTGAAGGTGATGGTTTTACCGAGGAACTCGCGAGGGTGCATCCACGCCCTGCCCCCGACCTCCCTGACTACATACTCGTTTTCTCGCTGGAGCGCTGATCAATGCGAGGCATTGCGAGGATGCAAGACTGCAGGCTCACCTCCGTCTGCTCCAAGTATATTTTTAGCTTGTCAAAAACATTGTGGATGTCGCGCCCAAGCATCATGCCATTGGAAGGGTCGTCTACAAGCCTTTCCATGGTTTGAATAGTTTCTTCAGACATTCCTGAGTAATGCCGAATGATATTCCACGTTGCAGCCGCGGTATGTGCCTGCATAATCCAACTTGAGGTCAGAATTAATGATAACCTAGCAGAGAAATCCTTGCCCGGTCCATGGTGAAAACCCCGACAGCCCGTTTCAGGATGTGCGCTCCTATCAAGGTTACAAAACCCTGATCGACACCGGCGGGAACGTGTGGTCCATCCCAGACACCTGAAACAACGCATCTATAACCGTCCCGTCGATTAACCTGTTGGAAGTTAACGCCAAAGCCGCTTTCTAACTGGTAGGACGTACATCGGTCCTAAATCTGCTACTCCGTTCCGGACTGGCACTTACAAGGCTGCCATAGGTGTCGTCAATGGTCGGCGTGGTCTGACTAGAAATCAAGTCTGATGATTGGTGGGTTCCGGCTGTGACTACCAGTGAAAATTTGCGTTAGTGTCTGTGGCAGACATCTCGAAGTTCTAACTTACATGGCCAGAGCAGATACATGAACCAAGTCCTCGCGAGATTGACTTGCTCGTGGATCTCAGGACATGCACAAATAGCACAGGCAGTATAACGCTCGGAGCTTTCGCCACCGGTCCTGTAAGCGTTCCTCAGCATCGCGTCTAGAACCCTGGATGCGTCAACGTCGTGCACGCTTGGTGGAGTTGCGATCCATCTGCGTTGATTCGTCGCTAGCTGCTCTATTGTTTGTCGAGCCTGTCCCACGTAAGTCACAGTGGATACGGCAGCGTTTTGCATGTTGAAGTACACGTTCTCATTGAAGCTGATGACGGATTCAGGTTCGCTGGTAGTCTCGCTCAAGTCGCTTAAGTCGCTGATGCTCACTCGCATTTCGTGAATGAGACATGTTAGAAAAGTTAGAACAATATTGGTAGTAAGAAGTACTCGGGAAGTGCCGCCTGCGTCGGCAGAAACCTTGACCAATTAGACCCACTAAAGTACTGCACATGCAGCTGCAGCGAAGGTTGTCGACCACTTATCTAGGCCTACTTCAACTTCGATTAACCAAGGGATGTGGATGTCACTCGCACCCCCACGACCACCTCAGGCTAGGCCTGGCCACGTGCAACAAGTTTTTTCCTGTGCCCCAATCTACGACCTCATTTTCTGCGATCTGAGCCCTCGCACCCTTGTGTGGCTCTCGCACGCATGTCGTTATACACATGCAGCAGTAGCTTGCTTTTACCGGCGCGCGTACAACATCAACCAACATTTGTCCCGTTTCTTTTCGGATCCCCTCTCATTTCGCTCCCTCCAAGCGCGAACTGGACTAGTGATTTCAGGCTCAAATGCACTCCAGTTCTTTGACAGGACCTTCTATCCTGGGTCTGACCTCGACCTCTACGCTCATCCCGGTCACGTTTACGAACTGCTGGAGTGGCTCGAATCTGTCGACTATCAATTTGAACCCAGCGGGCACCAAGAAGAGGACTGGCACAACCACGTTTCGGCTGATTGGGATGGTACAGTGAAGAGAACCCAACAAGAACAAGCGGCTGGAGGCACAGCGAATGCTTTAGACTTGTCGTGGTATCCTGATATTGCTGGTGTTTACACATTCAAGCGCTTTGCAGTTGTGGATGGGGAGTTCGTAGAGCTCAAAGTTCAAGTCATGGAAACAACCTGCAATCCCATCTCAACCATCATGAAATTCCACTCAAGTTTGTCCAAACTATCCCTTTTCCTTCGTACAGGGTTTGATGCTTTTATTGTAGCTTGTGTGATGAACATCATTACATTCAATGCGGCGTATTCCTTCTATCCTGTCGCAACATTTGAGGAGCGAGCCGCACTCAACATCCCCGCATCGAAGCACAACCCGGATGTCATCGCAAAGTATGTGAAGAGGGGTTGGAGAGTCTTTGGGGCGTTCAGGCCCAGGGACATAATGCGACCACGTGCATCACCATTTTTCGCGAACGAGACGCGGTGGGTGGGCGATCATCGCTGTTGGTCCATTCCGTTAGATACTTCTGGAGTTAAGCCCCGTCCAGTGATGTCCCCATCCTCAGAACAATTCTCTTGGGACCCCGCAATCCACAACGGTTGGATAATGTCGTACAGTGATTCCTCTGATACTGGTCAAAAAGTACCATTCATGAATGCCCACCTAATCATGACCACTATTTTCCGCTACAACTATATCTTCCCCGACGAAAAGCTTGCCTTGATAATTCGTGGCTGGTCGAGATCTCAGGGCAACCTTAACCACAGGTCATTGACAAAACCGGACTGGACTTGGTGCGTCCATCTAAACCAACTTATTTCATTTGTATTCATACTTGCACGTAGGTTCGATGATGAAATTCCAAGGTTCCGGGAGGCGGTAGAGCTCGCATGGGCAATGGAATTCTAGTTGTGAGAGTCGTGCGGGCTGAAAACACTCATAAAACATCCATCCCTATATGCTCACCGAATTGAACCGGTACCATTGTTTTATCTTGGCCTTTCATTTTATCGAGACTCGTTATTCTCTATGTGTCGTGCACCCGACCGGGTTGTAATTACTTATCAGAAATATGTCGGCTTACTCGCAAGACATGTCTTGATGCCACTGATGAGTCGGACGGCACGCTGCGACTCAGAATACGATAGTTTGTGTCAAGGTCGTAAGGAGGTATTAATACTGATAACATCATGCTACCGTTAGGTACGTGTTGCAAGTTGCAATCGAGATCCGAAACTCACTACTTACGGTTCTCGAGGTAAAATCAAAGACGGAAGTATAATACCAGACTCGCCTACACCGACCAATGTCTTCCTCAGTCGTTGTCGTCCTGATCATCATCAAGCATAAGAAGCTCAATGACTGCGTCAGCTGGACAGATATTCATGTGAGTTCTCAGTTTCAGGTTTGATATCTGCGCCAGTCTCTTCAACAAGGGCGCACATCCAGAATACAGATGTGTCGATCGCGAGCTATCGATCTTCCCCACCCTCTGCATAGCATGTTCGAGAGCCTTCTTGCGTGAGGCCGTCACAGATATAAACGTCGATTCTCCCAATTCATATGCAGTTCTAACTGATTCTGGGGATTCGGATGCGTGGGGTAGTAGACAGCATTGCGTATGCTAGCCACAAAGCCCGAGGCATGGTGGAATTTGCAAAGAGTCTGCTCGTCAAACACTCGGTAGAGATATTGTGGGATGTATGACAAAGAATACGGCACCTTATCGATGTTGACAGGATGCACAATCAAATAAATTCTGTACCTATTTCCAATGAGCGGTTTGTTTGGATCAGAGGCCGTTGCCAAACAACCACCTGAACCCAAATTCAGTTGAGCCACAACTCGTCGCACAGTCATCGCACATGTAGAAGGTGCCGCTTGCTTTCGAGCGCGGCCATCTTAATTCCTCGTTCACTTCTTTAACGTCCTTGCACTCGACTCATGTCAGGTATTTCCGCAGCGACTTTGAAAAAGCCGCATAATCGAAACCCAACAGGGAGGAACCAGCATAAGGACTGTCGTACGTATCCGCCCTTCCCGCTCCTTATAGTGTGTTCACCATCTGCAGCCCCGAAGAATGACAATAAGGTTACGGAGCTTCTGTATGACTATCAGCGGAGAGAGATATTTGATAAGAAGAAGATAAGTCAACTCCTGTATGATGAGCACGGCATCAAGCTGAGGTACGCATATTCTGCGCTCTTCTTTAACTTGATAATTAATGGTTGCTTCAGTGAAAGTTCGGTGGCTCGCAGACGAAGAGCTCTAGGTCTTTATGCAAGCGGCGTGACTACTCGACAGCTGCCCGAGACGGTCAAACGACAGCTCGTGCTCACTCAGATGTCGAAAGATCCGGAAAAGAAGCTTGGTCCTCGGATGATCAAACAGCTGATTGCTCGTGATACCGGTATCCATCTGACAAGGTGCATGAAGACCAAATTGCTGCTTTGATGTCATTCTCACGGCGAGAATGTAGGGACTATATCAGGGCTGAGATGATGAGACAAGACCCTGAGGGTTTCGCATCCAGAGACACTTCCGTGAAGAAGACGGACACTTTGGAGATCAGCGATGGAGGACCTATGATCCATACCATGACCTTGTCGCCGACATGTTGACGCTTGACGCACACCGTGATTCTGGGGATCAATTTGTTCGATCAAATATTTAATGTGAATCTTGTTTAATGATTTTCTAATGAACAGAAGCCCCTGCAACCGTAGTAACAGGACTGTTTTAACTTTCCTGGACGTAGTTTCGCCACTCCAGTCGCTACAAGGACGTGGACATGGATCTCCAGGCCGTATCATTATTGGTGTCCGAAACGCTCCTCGCATTACCTCAAAGTGAGTAAGTGATGATCGAAGGCTGCTTTAAGTTGCGCGCAAGTGGAGTTACCGCAAAAACTCTGAGATTATTGGAGGCGCGAGAACTGGGGGTGCTCTCCAATACAAATGACATCATGATAACCCGGTCCAATGATAAAAGACTGAGCCCTATTCGAAGATTAGGAGAATGCATCAATAATTTCATTCAAATACATACAGTGCTGTTGTCCTTTTGGACGATCTTCCGATTCACCAAAGCTATAAGACATTTGTTGACACGTGCCTGATTGAGATCGGGAGGCTTGATGAGCTCAATGACTGTGTACAAGCGCTCCTGAGCCTATATATACTGCAATGAAGAAGGGTCACTCACGTTTGAGGCCTCGTCCATCGCTGTCCATCAGGACTTCTATCACAGATTCCATATTACGTCGAAGACCCTGGGACGCCTAACCTTCAATAACAGTCTACACCGTCGCCTAGTATACGTACCGGATCACTACCCCGAAATTCGAGGGGAAGAGACATGACTATCTTCTCAAGGGAAATCTGTAAAGACGCATCAAAAACCAAGAAAAGAATTTCCCCTTGCATCAGTACTCACCGATCTCTCCTTTTTCTCCCTTGCAGTCAGCTTTGGTTTAGCCTTCTTCTTCGGAACACCTGTTGATGCGGTCTTTGCGATGCTGGTAGAAGCATTCCTTGTCGTAGCATTTGTGGTGTATGTCGTTTCAAACTCTTGGGTTTCAGTGAACATGGTTTTGTCCGCCTCTGAATCTCGCGACGGAGGTGGAATGGCTGATGCAACTTTCAACGCAGCTTCTTCAGCTAAACGGGCCTTTTCCTCTAATAAATGCGTTGCTTCATCACGAATGCATACTTGAGTTATTACGCAACTCACCTGCTCGTCGCTTTCCCAGCTGGAATGACGCGTCCGTTGGAGCCTGACAGAATAGATAGAGATCGATCACTGAACTCGATCATCATGAATTAACAAAGCTCACCTGCGGCCAGTCTACGGTAAGCGCATTCATGTCCATAACATATAGCCAGCTTGCGAAGCTCTCGTTGAAGGTCTTCAGAGACTCGCTGAGGTTCCTTAGGCCCTCTACATTCGCCTGCAGCGCCTCAACTTCGTCGACGAGTTCTGCCATCACAGGCTCGATGAAGCCCAGACCATGAGGTGCACTGGGGTTGGTACCTGATCGCGAGAGAGCGAAGAGAGACCCTTGGGAGACGCGTCTAAGAGGTGTTCTGTGGGGCGTATGTCCTGGTAATGCTGGCATGACTATGCTCTAGTAGAGATCAGGGTGCTCACGTGCTTGACGCGTCTCAATATTGATCACGGCACTTTTATACGACTAGTCCACGGTATCGCATGCTCAGACGCGGCGCTGGATATTTGGGCAAGGATACTAGGCGCATATATATATATATATATCGCTGTTCCGAGTAGCTCATCCAGTCATGATGCAGTATACTTACCAAATACTTACCCTCCAATAAGCAGATTTTAGTCCAACCACTTGCCGACCACACCAGTAGTATCGAGACGCGATGCTATTCATGCGGGAAAGCTTTCGAAAAATGTACAATTTACGATAAACTACCGACAATACTATAATCGAAAGACCAACAACTCGAACGCAAAAACTGAACAGCGTCCAGTGCACAAAACCATATCTAAACAGACAGCAACCTAGTTTGTCTGTGCGCCAACAGCCTGAGGAACAGCACACCGTAAGCGCATCGCGGGACAAAAGCAACATAGACACCCTTACCAGGCGTTTCAAGTGCTCCATGAAGACCTGCAAGCTGACGTCGTCGGTGAAGATCGCCTGTCCAGCGCCCGCAGCTTGTGCGGTGCCATACATCGATGTCGACATGTGAGTCGTCGATGGATTGAGTTTCGATAGCAGGAATCGAGCTTGACTGCCACCCTGGTCGCAGACGATATATCGTGGTATGGGGAAGCGGTCGACAAGTAAGTCCTGTACGTACGGTCGTTAAACAGGTTAAAACACAAGGCAGAATCGTCGTACCTGAGCATCGGTGACAGGGTTCTCTAATAGCTCTTTGAAATTTTCGTACCCATCTTGGTCTTGGTAACCTGCCTTTCTCCATTGGGCGACCGTTTCGCCGTGGAAAATGAGGATGTGGAAGAAGGTGTCCAGGAGGAGAATCACGTCAGGTTTGATAGAGACGCTGTCCAGCAAGACGGGCTGGGGCTCGACATCAAACGTGTACGACATAAGGGTAGGTTGGATCATGATCAACGAGTTGTTGACGTCTTCTTCGTTGAGAATATGTCTGTCACATCACCATTTAGCACTCCAACATGTTACCGCACAGCGGAAGTACATACCTGTAGAATGCAGTCTCGTCGGGACTGTTGTTGAACACCTGCAAGAACTGGCTTCTCCGTAGATGGAACATAAACTGTGGATAAATGCTGAAGTTGTCCGTCAGTCTAAAGCTGACAGGGTCCTCCTTTCTGTAGTCTGCAAACTTCTGACAGAGACGGATAAGCATGCGGTCGAGCCAGCGCAGGACGTCTGGCGAGTCGTCGATTTCGGCCTTGAATACCGCAATCCTTGCCATAAGGACAGCCGCGGCTTCTTGGTCAAATGAAGAAGCGATGCTCGGTGAGTTTGCTTCTGCGAAGTTTCGAGCGATCGTCGTGACACGCAGGCGCATCTGCCCAGACGAGTGTTGATAATGCGTGACAAATTGGATAAGACCCCTTGACCCGGGAGACAGAGCCTGGCCCGCTGGAGTAACTACCTCGAAGTAAATGGCAGCAGATGTCCGAGGCGTGATGGAGTTGATTCTCCATGCTGAGGTCTGGCCGATACCAATCTCGGTCTCGCCAACGCATGCAGATTTCTTTCCGGCTGAGATGGCATGTCCGATAAGGCCGGAGACCTTCAGTTCCTTGGTTGTCTAAACACAATGAAATCAATCGCCTGTGTAGAAGAGTATACGAGGCGACTCGCCTGAACGTCGAACGTCGCATTGAAGCCCATCTGCAAGAAGTCCTGGTCGTCCTTATTGAATATGCGCAGGAAGCTCTGCTTGAAGATGGACGTAGCGAATGAATCCGACAGGACAATGACACCGTTCGTCGAATTTGGTAGGGACTTCATCTCAAGCAAGCCGACTTGGTCTAAGCAACCAGCAAACAGATCGACAGCATGGCCATTGTTAGATGCTCTCTTCGCCAGACCTTCATAGAACTAAAATAAAGCAAACATATAACGCTACCGCCCATCATTTCATTAATTAATAAAGGACAAACCTTTACGGCGCGTTTGTAGTGTTTAACGCTGTCTCGTTCGATGTCGTGATGAGACCGAATGGGCTCCTTGAGCTCGTTGCTGACAACCATTCCTGGACCCTCAGTCGCAGGTCCACCCGCAAAAATCATTATACGGGCGCCCGTGTTAGGGAAAGTTGTCTAGAAAATACTGTCACTCGTATACACTTCTCACCACGTTTGATATACATACCTCCAAGAGTCCAACAGCAACACTGACGGCCACGCCAGTGCAGCGTAAAGCGCGCTTGTCATTGGCAACGGGCCAAGGATCACGAGCAAGTGCCTCCAAGATACCAGTGAGCTGGAATTCACATTGTTGGACAGGAAGTAAGAATCGGGCGGCTCCGAATGCCTGTTGGGGCATGGGTTGGCCGGCGCGGGGTGCGGCGCGAGTTGTGGTACTGAGTCCGAGCATGTCCTGGATTTGTTTCTGCGAGTACTCCTTGCCGCCACGGAAGACATATGACTTGCTGCACTCGGCGTAGCCCAATTCATGAACTTGAGTCTGGTGGTCGAGGTGTAAGCTTGACCACGGAAAGAAGAAAGAAGTGCACGTACCATCGTGCCGAAGGTGATGAGACCAACTAAAGCATATGGTGGGATCAAGCTGAGACTGACGATAAGCGTGTCGCGGAGTGCTTTGAGGTCTTCGGCATCTAGACAGGTATCGACGACAAACAGGAAGACAGGAGGAACTTGAGCAGGACGAGATAGCGTGTACTCAATTGTCGTGTACTTTGGAAGCAGTTCAGCGGGTAAATTGGTGTTAGAGATGTCTTTATAATGGGGCGGGAAAGCATTGCGAGTCAAGCAGAACGGACAGATCCACAGTTTCCCTCTGATATCAATTTGACTTCATGACAATATTAGTAGGATTTGAGGAAGGTAGACAAGACAAGACACATACCAATATGGATTGAGAATAGCACGACAAGGAGGTTTACACGTCACGGGTTCGTATAAGACGGGAGGAAGATCTTCTCGCTGCTTCAAGGGAGTGTACAGCGCCGATATCGGGACCACAGTTCGCGTCGCCTCTATCCGAGAAGAAGGCCAAACATTCCACGAAAGACGAACACCTGAAATCACAGTCCAATGAGCTAATCAATGAATTGGTGGAATATCCACTGAAATTCACCGTCCCGCTCTTCAACGTCTTCAAAATTGAGCATCTTAGCACCTCCGCACGCGTATGAAGAAAGGTTACAAGGGCGCGACTGTTTTACTTGAGAGTTGACCTGAACACGAATGCAACGTCACTCAAAAGTATAATCTATCTCGTACCAATTAGGATGTGTTTCAGGCGGAGATTCAAGTGGTGAATTTATGATTCTGAAACGTGTCCATGGAAGTCTAAGATAATATATGATCTCGAAAGCTTTGCGAGGGGAGTCTCAAGTATGTAGCGACTCTACTGAGCTTTCTTCTCCGCGGCTGCCGCATCTGCTAGTCTAGCCTCTTCCCTTCGTCTCGCCTCTCTCCGTTCCCTACCCCGAGTGACTAAAGGTTTAGGCTCGAGATCTGCAAAGAGGCGTTTGCAAAGCTTCTCGATCACCCAACACCCAACAAAGTCCAAGATCATGACGCTAGTTAACTTGACCTTGAACTAAAGGGACATAAAAATAAGAATTTTATTTTAATGTCAAAAAGTCAGAGAGCGACTCACATGTCCCTCCATCTCGACAATCTGTAACCATCTGTTCAACTCGGGCATGAAGTCTGTAGCCCCAGAGAATGCAACGGCACTGGCGCCGACGAGTCCCCAATACAAGCTCGAGTTCTCGCGAATTCCCTCACGGAACGGGCGGCCCTATAAGAGATGGTGTCAATTTATCGACTTCGACATACTTGAAGAAATGAATTACCTGAAAGTTGATAGCAAAGGTCGAGACCTGTTGAGAGAGACCCAGTAGGTAGATGGCGGTGTTCAGGAGGCTTGGCTCGAACTTGGCTTCGAGGTCAATTACACCAGCTCTGCATAGGACTCAGAAGATGTCTGCAATGAAATGGACGGAAACTCACGGCTCATGGAAATGTGACAAGTTCGTGATGTAAACGAGCGATACAATGTGCAGGGCGAACTGGAGTAGCACAGAAAGTAGGACGTAGAGGTTGAAGATGTTGCCTAACGGCCTCTCACGAGACAGTTTTTCAACCGGCTGTTGTTGAACGCTCAGTACGGCCAAAAAAAAAGGTCGGACAGTGACGCACCTTGGCACGAGATATACAGAGGAAACAGACAGACATCAACATCCCGCTAACGGTTACCTGATAGTCGCCAAACTTGATACCATCAAGATACTGGACCGACAAGCTGTACGCCGTGATAAGGCAGTTCAGCGCCAGAATCTTGTACATCTGAATGGTGGCGACCAAAGTGCAGCGACCTTGCCTGATAATGTGCGTAACTATTATTCTGTTAGTACGAACCTTTGACATTAAGCTACACAAACTCACTGGCAGCGACGTGGGACAGCTTCGATGTGAATGGCGCGGCGCATGAAGCATCTCCAAGTTTAATCTGAGGAACATCCTCATCACCGTCCATGTTTGCCATAGCGTCAGTAATCGAAGCAAGGTCGAACTAAAACGTCGTCAGCCAAGCGAACACCATCAAGGGTAACAACGCGACCTTCTCCATCGGGTTCTTCTTACGCGCGGCCTGTAAGTTCTCCGCGGCCCTTTTCTGCGCTTCAACAACATCTGGGTAGAGATGCGCAATAGCAGGAGGCACAGGTGGTGGGACCTGTCCAAACTTCGATGATATTTTCAATTGGCTCTCGTAAACCTTCTTGATCCGCTCGGTCTTCTGATGTTCTGCAATTTTCTGGAGGTCCTCAGGTGTGCCATCCAAAAGAGCGACGCCGATATGGGCCTGCTTGAGCGCGCCAACGTCATTGGTGCCATCTCCAGCCATGAGGGTAGTGTAGCCAAGCGTCTTAAGGCTCGTAAGGATGAACTCCTTCTGCGTAGGAGAGACTCGAGCATAAACCCAGGTATTTTGCACCAAGTGGTTCCACGTAGGACGAGATTCGAACTGCTTCATAGCGGCACCGGTAACACAAATATCGTACTCATCGAAGAGGTGTTGGTCCAAAGGCTGAGACGGATCCACGGGTATAATCTTGGTTTCGTCCACAGTGCGCCAGACCAGATCTGTGACAAAATTACTATGCCTACCAGCTGTAAGAACAATCGAACTCACCTCCTTCATGTGCGGGATTCTCGCGCAAGTCCAGAATTAGCGCGTCGCGATCAACAATTTCGACATCCCGGGCGACATGAACCGCCGTCAATGGGTTATCACCGGTAATCATAATGCACTGTCGTGCTATGAGTGAAGTTTCTTAGCAAAATGAACTACTTACGCGATGGGATGAGTCAGCGAGCATCTTGAGTGTCTCTATAGCATCTGGCTTGAGAGGACAATGGAAGACTAAAAATCCAGCAAACACAAGACTGCTCTCAACATCCTCGCGGTGTAGTTTATTAATCTATAACAATTGTTAATACCGCGCACGAAGTTACATGACCATCACTCACCTTATCGATCGACATGCTTTCCATCTCCTTCGTGCCTAGAGCCAAAACACGGCTTCCGCGCCTAGTATACCACTTGTACGTCACATCATACCATTCGGGGACTTCCGCGAGCATGCCTTTGATCGTCTCTGGTGCACCTTTAACGGAGACGAGGACCTTGCCACTGGGCAAACTCGACACGGTGGACATGCGCTTCAGAGCCGACGAAAACTGGAAACGACGTCGAATGAATATCCTCGACGCATTTGGCGCCTTGGCGGAAGACGGCGCTACTTGGTCACCGTTCGAAAGCTGCCAGTCAAGGGCTTCCAACGTCGTCTTCTCCATTGGGTCTCCGACAATCGTCCCATCATCGAGACGAACGAGCGCGTGTGCCGCAGCCAAGCAGAGGGTGGTATATTTGGAGGTGTCCTTGACATCGACAAGCTTCAATTTGTCTGACTCGCTAGAATGGTTTGAGTGTTAGCAGGGACATCATTATTGAATAGGAGATACCAACTCTATGCCAGCAACTCCCTCTAGGACTAGGTTCTCCGCGGTAATAGTTCCCGTTTTGTCGAAGCAACAAATGTCGACGCGGCCAGCGGATGGGATGCGGAATGGCTCGGTGCAGAATATCGCTGCAAATAATGAGACGAAATATCACGAAAAATAAATCACGACATACCGAATTTTGATAGGGCAACCAAGGACGCGTTTACAGCCAATGAAAGTTCCATAGGCAATTCCGGGGGAACGACGCTCGTAATGATGAGCACACAGTCGAGCAGGAGTTTGGACTTTTTCAGATCCCGCTCGATGCCTATATGTATGCTTGTGATTAGTTGGCCTGTACGCAAGAAATAACACGTACCCTTCACCCAAACATACCAGCTAGCGGCGATCGCGAAAATGAGTAAGAACCCGATAAATAGGAATGATTCGAAATTATTCGCGGAAACGCGTTCTGTTGAAAATATCATCGTCCTCACAAGCTGCCCCTGGGCTGTGCCGAAACCGGTTCTCAAGACAAGTCCCAGACATCCACCATCCGGAGTCGCTGCAGTACCTTGTCCTTGACCTGATGCCCGAATGGCAGCATTAGTGAAGGAATAAATTGCGAGAGCCGAACGTACCCGTTGGGCTTGCTTGAAGCACCTTGGTTCCGCTGAACAGAACTGCATTCTTGTGCGCGCCGTCAACGTCGAGTTTGTCTTTGCTGTCAAAAAGCTGGATGGATTCTTTGAGTAGCGGCGTGGATTCTCCTGATAACATGGCTTCATTGACGATGCATGTTCCTTGCAGAAGAAGAACGTCGGCAGGAACTACTGTTTCAGACTGCTGTCGTGCTGTAATGATACGTCGGTCAAGAAATTTCGACGACGGACATATGACACCTACCAACGGAAACAAGGTCTCCAGGGAGAAGCTCATCAGACTGAATGACAATCCACTTTAATTCCCGGTAGCACTGAATAGGATACGGAGCGACAGCCATCGTGCGGAATTCTGTGAGAGTTTTCAAACGCTATAAATTAAGTTAGCTTCGGAGTTGTTAATGGGAAGAAAAGACGCGCCTGCCAAACAACAGTGCACTCGAACATCACGAGCATGAATAGCGTGAATAAGCTGTAATACAAATACTCGTCCAGACACCAGAGCGCGACACAAAATATTTGGAAGACGAAAAATGGAGCCGTCGCATGTTCACCGAAAAGTTCGGAGAAAGAAGGGATCGGAATGTTGAATTCGTTCTTGCCATAAAGTGACTTCAAGGGTGGAATTGCGCCCGGACTGAGGCCAGTGGGACTTGAAAAGGTAGATAATGATGGACACTGGGTGGACGGGTAAGGGAGACGAGTAAACACGATGGGACTCTTGCCGGCGACGACGTAAGTATCTCGCTGGTAATTGAACGTGTAGGACATCGGTTCTGAAGGAACTCCCTTGAGTAATGGAACGATATCGCCTTGACCACGATGGACATGAGGAACCAAGCGTATACAGTCCGCGTCCTCGATAGACCGCGCCTTACAATTGGTGTGTTAGGATAAGAGTGTACAGCAAACAAAAACTAACAGCGCACCTTTCGTGTTGTGATCCAAGCTTTCGCGCCAGCACTCCATCGAGTAACCAGGAAACTTAGAGCATGACCTGCGCCCAAAGATACACAGGCTAGGAAAGTCCACTCCTCACTTTTCAACCAGTCGTCGTACTTGATATAATACGCATATGCAAGAAGCGGATAGAGCGAGAGGAAAGGAACGGTGTACAAGTGCGTGTACCACGGAAGGGCGACGTGTAAACTGGCTTTGGCAATCTCATTAGACTGCACAGTGACAGAAGCCCTGCCGGTAACGCATGTCAGCAACCTTTTAAAAAATCAAAAACTGGTACTTGCATATTCGGGGGACGCGAGCTAAAAGCCAGGTACCCAAATATTTACGAGTAGGAATAAGCTACAGCTGTCTGGATCGCCTTGACCGGTCGTGGCGAATTTTGACTCTGCGTGAGCTTACGCAATCAATTGGTTCCGCTCATGTGCTCCGCCAAGTTGAGTGAGATCATCATTGATTGCTACAACTTGAACAATGAACTAGTTCATTCAACTTCATTGAATAACGTCTTAGTACTGAGCACACAACGATAAACGTTCATATCGTTAGTCTGTGCCAGATATTTTTCAACATCGACGCACGCAATCTTCTTAGACCATGGCATTGCCAACACCGGCGTCGGTGTCCGTCTCATGCGATCATTCATGGTATAAGTAGTAGGTAAGTGTGCAATCGAATAGACCTTCCTCCCTCTTCTCTCACGCCTCGAAGTACGGTGCGATCAAGGTGGATGTGAAATCGCCTTATCAATCTCCAATGTCATGGGGTCTGACCGTCATCGACGTCAGAGGCATTTTCTTCGGGAGTCAGCTGCTGAGATGTGAAATTTCAATGGCTCCAGGTGTGAGTACGATTGGCGGTACTTAAAAGTCATTCATAGTTTGGATGCCATCAGTTCCCTTCTGTCTTCCTGCATCAACCATGCTGCGGCTGCCTGACCTGTGCATTTCTGACAACACGCAGCTCGTCCTCGGTGCTGCTGTTTGTCTTGGGGTACTAGTAGTAGGAGTAGTTGCTCAGGCATATTACCTTCCTAAATCAAGGAGTGGCCTTCCTCTTCCACCTTCTCCTCCCACCTGGAGACTTCGAGGGCACTTTCTACCCTCTCACAAGTACAGTTTCACATTTCACTTGTTCCTTTAAATGCTAATTGTGTGCCATCGCTGATCAGCCTATGTCTTACTATAGCGAGATGGATTGACAAATATGGTCCCCTAATCACTATTCGCACTGGAACTGAGAAAATCGTTATTATCGGCCGTCACAATGTCAGTTTCTCCAAGCTGAGTTGCCATATCCAGGCTCAGGATTATACAGGCCGTAGTGGATATCATGGAGAAACAGGGTGCCTCGCTAGCTGATCGTCCTCGCCTGGTTGCTGCCGGGGAAATGCTTACTGGCGGGCTGTCCATCCTCTTGATACCCCCTGGGATCAGGTGGCGTCGGATGCGTAGGTTCGTTCGTTGCCCGCGATACCTGCACGAATAACCCCACTCTTACTCTGCAACGTCATGCAGAGCACTTCATTCGCATCTCCAGACTAAAGCAGCTGAGGAATACCAGCCCCTACAGATGTCACTCGCGAGGAACACCGTGCTCGACATTCTTGAAGATCCCTACAACTTCCAGAATCATGCGGCAACGTAAGCGCTGTCCCGTGTTCGTGTCATCCTACATACTACATTACTTACGGGTATTTTGAATTTAAAGTTACGCCGCGACGACTATTATGAAAATTGCATACGGGAAGACCACACCATCGTCTGCGACTGATCCCGAAGTCATACAAAATCGCGAGCTCCTTCTTGCACTTCGTATAACCTTACGCCCTGGTGCTTACCTGGTGGACTCGATCCCGTGGCTCAAACATCTTCCTTGGTATGGCCAAGAATTGAAACAGGCGTTTCAGAGGAGCGAGCAGCTCTACACCGATCAGCTTAACCGTATCAAACAGCAAATAGTACGTACCGCCTCTCCAACACCCACACAACGCCTGAATCTCTCCACAGCGGAACAATTTGGACGTCGGTCCTTCGTTCGTAAAATGCATGCTAGAAAACGTCCAAGTTCACGAGTTGACAGAGACAGAGATGGCTTTTCTTGCTGGCGCGTTATCTGCAGCTGGAACTGATACGGTGAGATGTCATGTACTGTTCTTTCTGAAGATATGCAATTGAAACCAGGTGTCAGACCACTATGGCGATATGCACGGTGCTCATGGCAGCCGCATGTTTTCCCGAGGAGCAAGCGAAAGTCCAGGTCGAGCTTGATGCGATCGTAGGAAGGCACCGAGGTAGCTTGATCCCTATTACAACTTGATCAATTTCAAAGATGTCTCCCCTACAGCACCCACCTTCGCTGACGATGAGTCCCTCCCCCGTCTGCACGCCTTCATCTCTGAGGCTTTGAGATGGAGACCGCTGGTTCCCAATGGTAGGCATCTTCGTCGTCGATTTTGTACTTGAAGTTTACAATGTTTACACGGCAGGAGTGGCTCACCGGACGACTCAGGAGGTGATTTGGGTAAGTGCTTTTTACACAACTCATCGTGCACATGGTAATCTAGCATCAGGGAAACTATTGTATTCCAACTGGGACAACAGTATTCGGTGATCATTGGTAAGTATCGTCTTTCAAGAGAAGTACGAGGGACTGACCGTTACTGCCTCAGGTCCATCTCTCGAGATCCCGACGTCTTCCCTGATCCTCATGCGTTCAAGCCTGAGCGCTGGATTAACGACCAAGGTCGCTATAGGGACGATCTGAAATTCTTCGGGTTTGGGTTTGGTCGGCGGTAAGGGGCCGTCTTTTAACATATTCTTTCGTTCACCTTCCATGTTTCAGCGTTTGCCCCGGTCTACAGGTCGCAAACAGGTAAAAGTTTCCTTGCATCCCATGATTTTCCGAGTTCATTTCAACGGCTATAGATCGGTGTTCATAAACTCGCTCCTTATTCTTTGGGCCTTCCAGATGACTCTGGATCCTACGAAGCCACTGGATGACATGGGGTTCACGAGCGGGGCGGTGGGAGATGTCCAGCCGTGCGCTATTAAGTTTGAGACGAGGGTTCCAGAGACGGAGCTCAGGCGCATGATGCAGAAGTTGCCTGAGAACGCTTAGGGATCTACCAGTCATCTAGCTCTCTCAGTATCGCGTCATGAGTTTGAGTTGTGTCCTATGTAAACTTGCTTTCGGTTATTCATGTCAATCCACTGCGTTGTGCCGTCGGTAGTTCTGATATTATGTATGAACGATTATCTTTATCGACCGACTATGCCACAAATGTAACTGAACTACTCGAGTACTACACTTGAAACGGATCGTCCCTGTCGGTGAAGGTAAAGTAGATGGTCAGAATAATCGAATGCATGCCGCCTTCGTGAATCCTACGGATTGACTCCTGTATCTGCGCTGCTGACCAACACACACATTGTGCCATAAATGTGCGATTTCTGAAGCGCCGAAGAGATGCAAGGTAATCCGTCGGTTTCGGGATGTCGCCAAGTAATTTTAAAGATGCGCGCATGGGCCGAGTTGATGCGTCATCTACCAACAGGCTGCCAGTATCCAGATAGAACTCCATGATTTCATCCGTTTTCGCTTCACGGCGATGGACAGAGGTTGTGTCCGACAAAATCTGCAATGGCTATCATACGCATTGAGCACGTTTCCGTCACATTTGACAACAAGTGGTAGGGTTTTCAAAGCATGCGCGTATGCGTAATCAGCAGAAAATACTCGTAGTGTTCACTTGGCGGGAGCCTGCATATGTATAAGTGCATCGTGAAGATGGCGAAGTGCGCGTAGCATGGCGTGCGTAAGCACGGGTGATCTGCGGGAGGGGTGCAAGTCATGTTAGAGACAAGCACCCAGTTGTCTGTTGAAGGCTTGAAGCTTGAGTCAAGTGTGACTGGCTTAGTCTTCCCTAGCCAGCCCTATAGTGAAGGACGGAAGATATGGCCTCTGATTCCAAACCAACTAGAGTGCCGCCACACAAACCAAATATTAATAAAACAACAACAATTCAAACGCCGCGTCTTTGAACAAGTACTACATACTACTCCCACCTACTCAACACATGGCCGCTGGTTTGAAGCCAGTCCACTCCGACGACGTCGTGGCGCTTGGTGTTCTAACTTACAAAGCCAGTTGATTCCGCTCATATGCCGAGCGCTTGAGCAAAGGTACTCGTGTGATGGGATTCAGGCTACCACCTATAGTCACCTAGAGCCAGAGGCCCATCGTACTACGCTGCATACTGTTGGCGATGCATGCCAGCGTTCTCATCATACCTGTTGGCGTTCTTCCCACGCCTGCTGGCGTTCTTCTCGTGCTTAATACACCACTCTTATGGTTCCGCTGCTGTCCTTGGCCTGTCAAGTGAGCATTTCTCCATCTGTAACTATTTCCACCGCAACATCTCAATCTATACCACACCGCCTGCATATGGTATCAAGGAAGCCCGGTGCGGTGTGGTATAGATTGAGATGTTGTGGTGACTGTAGCGAATAGATGGGGATTGGATATTCTCAGGGCCCAGAGATTCGTAACGCCAGAACGTCCAGTAAGAGGAAATAGTTACAGATGGAGAAATGCTTACTTGGCAGGTCAAGGACAGCAGTGAAACCGTAAGAGTGGTGTATCAAGCAGGAGAAGAACGCCAGCGGTGCGATCAACACGTGAAATATCAATACCCAGTATAATGGGATCTGATTTGCGATGTCGGAAGCTCTGCAATTTTCCTCGGTAGTCTAAGGTAGTCTACTGCTAAAATGTGACGTTTCAATGACTCCAGGAGCAGGTGCGAGTGCGATTGGCGGTACTTAAAAGCCATTCATAGCTTCGATGTCTGTTATCTTCCCTTAAAAATCATGTTACAACTACCCGACCTGCGCATTTCTGACAACGCCCGGCTCGTCCTCGATACCGCGGCTTGTTTTGTGGTAGTAGCAGTGATCGTTCGAGCTTACCTTTTTAAGTCAGACAGTGGTCTTCCTCTTCCACCATCCCCTCCCAGTAGGAGACTTCTGGGGCACTTCGTACCCGATCACCAGTAAAGTCGTCCATTTCACTTGTCGCTTTCAATGCTAATTCCATCACTAATCAGGCCATTTCTTACTGTAGCGGGATGGCTCGACGAGTACGGTCCTCTGATCACCATTCGCTTAGGAACTGAGAGAGTCGTTGTTATCGGTCGTCACAACGTCAGTCCCTCCAATTTTCGTCGTATATAGGCTCGAAATCGTGTTGCAGGTCGCAGGTGGATATCATGGAGAAGCAGGGCGCCTCGCTAGCTGATCGTCCTCGCCGCGTTGCTGCTGGAGAAATTTTTAGTGGTGGGCTATCCAACCTCCTCTCACCAGCTGGGGTCAGGTTCCGTCGGATGCGTAGGTTTGTTTGTTTCCCGACAATACTGCACGAATGGCCCCAATCTTACTCTGCAATATGATGCAGAGCACTTCATGCGCATCTTCAGCCTAAAGCAGCCGAGGAATATCAACCCCTCCAGATGTCACACGCAAAGAACACCGTCCTCAGCATTCTGGAAGATCCATCCAACTTCCAGAATCACGTGGGAACGTAAGCGCTGTCCTAGGTTTGGGTTATCACTGTACATCACTGACAAATATCTTGAAGTCATGCTGCGACGGTCATTACGAAAGTTGCATACGGTAAGAGTACGCCAACGTCTGCGACTGATCCCGAAGTCAAACGACTTCGCGAGCACATGCGGGTATTTCGTACAACCTTACGGCCCGGTGCTTACCTGGTGGACTCGATCCCGTGGCTCAAATATCTTCCTTGGTATGGCCGAGAATTGAAACGGGCGTTTCAGGACAGCAAGCAGCTCTACACCACTCGCTTAAACCGCGTGAAACAGCAAATAGTACGCATGGCCTTGCCAATCTTGACACGACGTCTGAATCGTTCCACAGCAGAGCAATGAGGACGTTGGTCCTTCGTTTGCAAAATATATGCTACAAAATATTCAATATCACAACCTGACAGAGATAGAGATGGCCTTTCTTGCTGGTGGCTTCTTTGTAGCTGGAATTGATACGGTGAGGTGTCTTGTGCTGTTGTTTCTGTACATATGTAATTGACATTGCGCATCAGACTACTTTGTCAATATGCACGATTTTCATGGCAGCCGCATTGTTTCCCGAGGAGCAAGCAAAAGTCCAGGCCGAGCTTGATGCGATCGTCGGAAGGCACCGAGGTAGCTTGATCCCTATTACAACGTTATCAATTTCAAGGATGTTTCACTACAGCACCGACCTTTGCTGATGAAAAGTCCCTTCCTCGACTGCACGCCTTCATCTCTGAGACTTTGAGATGGAGACCGATGCTTCCCAGTGGTGGGTATCTTCATCGTCGCTGTTGTACCTGAAGTTCTCAACGTTCACACGGCAGGAATTACTCATCGATCGACTCAGGATGTCATTTGGGCATGTCATTTTCGAACTACTTATCGTGCGATTAGTAATCTTGCGTCAGGGAAACTATCGCATTCCAGCTGGGACTACCGTAGTTGGCAATCACTGGTAAGTGCCATTCTTCAAGATATGAGGGAATGACGCTCACTTCGTCAGGTCCATCTCTCGAGATCCAGACGTCTTCCCCGAACCTCATGCGTTCAAGCCTGAGCGCTGGATCAACGACCAAGGTCTCTTTAGGGACGATCTAAAATTCTTCGTCTATGGGTTTGGTCGGCGGTAAGTAACCGTCTTTCAGGACATTTTTTCGTTTACTGACCAGGTTTCAAGCGCATGTCCCGGTCAATATTTAGCGAACAGGTAAAGGGTTTCTTTCCACGCACATGATCTTCCGAGTTCATTTCAACGACTACAGATCGATGTTCATAAACACGGTCCTTACCCTTTGGGCTTTCCAGCTGACTCTGGATCCTACGAAGCCACTGAATGACATGGGGTACATGAGCGGGGCGAGTCGACCATGCACTATTGAGTTTAAAACGAGGATTCCAGAGACGGAGCTCAGGCGCATGATGCAGAATTATCCTGAGGTCGCCTGAGAAGCCTCAATGAACTCCTAGGGATTACCAGCTGTCTAGCTCTCGCAGCATCGCATCACGAGTTTGCAGACTTACTTTCCGCTATTCTTTTTTTACAGTCAATCCACCGACTTAGATTAGATTGCGCTGTGTTGTTGGTAGCTCTGATTCTATGAGCAATTCTCTGACTATGCTACACATGTTACAGTAACTACATACACTCAGAACCTTGTTTGCTAACTGGCCTGTTTACATATCACATTCACGCGCACGCGATATCATACAGACCACAGTAGCATATATTCGGAATGTACCGTCTACAGTGCTTCCCCGAGGCGACAATAAACTGGATTGTTTTTTTCTTCTTTTTAAAAGACCTCGTCAGCTCCTTGGATTACACAAAAAATTAAAAAGGATCGCTCCTGTCGGTGAAGGTGAAGTACATGGTTGGGAATATCGAATGTACGCTGCCTTCGTGCTGACCGCTCGCCTACACTTGGGCTCCTTGAATTTATCTGTGCTGCTAACCGAACACACGCAATGTGCCATAACACAGTGCAGGTAATCCGTCAGCTTGGACATGTTGCCCAAGTAGTTTCGAGATGCGCCAAGTCGAGGTGCTATCGATGAACATGCTGCGGTAGATGATCCAGATACAACTCCTCGGGTTCGTTGTTCATTTTCGCTTCACGGCGAAGAGTGGCAGGCGTGTCCAACACATCCTGCAATGGCCTACTACTCATACGTATTGCGCGTTGCCGCGACATTTGACAAATCATTGGTCAAAAAGTTTCACAGCATGCATATAAGCCGATTCAACACCATGGTGATCAACGTCCCTCTAGAAGCAAATACTAACAGTGTCCGCTTGGCGGGAGCTTGCATAAGTACAATTGTACCGTGAGGATGGCGGAGTACGCGTAGCATGGGATGAGGGCGCGAGTCATAGAGAAGAGTGCGGCAATGTAATATTACAGGTGCGTGCAAGCTACAAGACAAGCACCCGGATATTCGCAAAAAGCTGCTGTCTGTTGAGGTTTGAAGCTAAGCTTGACTCGCGACAGTCGTGGCCAGTCGTGGCCAATTGTGGTCACCCTGCGGCGAACTTCTGCCACTGCAATCCAACCGTAATCTTAGCTTTTGAGTGTCGCCGTGCCAAGGTTTGATATATAGAGGGAGAGAAGTGAAAGTGACTATGAAGGAGGAAGTTGTTGTGAATTGAAATAGATTTCACGTTGATTGATTGAGGGAGTGCGAGTGACGTCAGTAGATGGAGGATCACATGACTTTTCGTGACTTCTTCACTACAATGCCTAAGGATGTTCATATAGATACCTTGAAGAGAATCTGTTCCATCCATGTGATGTAGACGGGTATGAGTGAAGCCTATCTTACCTAGACTCGTGACCAGTCCTGTTAAACCTATGGAGGTCATAGGTTTGACTGGTCACGAGTCTACATCTTACCAAAAGAGGCCGTATTCAGTTCGCCAAACGGCGTTGAAGAAGCACGCCAACCTGACTCTCAGTGACGTTAGAACTGCGATCATCGTGCGGCGGCGTAGTGGGGTATTCGACGTGTGAGATACTCGCTCTCTTCCGCGGTGATCTGGTAAGTGTCAGTAAATTTGAATATGATTGTACGATTGACTATAATTCAGAACTGGATTGCCATCAGTCCCTCCAGTCCTCCCGTATCAATCATGATACAAGTTACCTGACCTGTCCCGTTTATGACAACGCTCAGCTTGTCCTTGGTGCTGCCGCTTGCCTTGGGGTAGTAGGAGTGGTTGTTCAGGCTTACCTTTCTAAATCAGACGGTAATTTCCAACTTCCACCTTCCCCTCCCAGTTGGAGACTTTGGGGGCACTTCATACCCCCTCACAAGTAAAGTTCCGCATTTCACACGTTGCTTTCAATGTTTGCTAATTGTGTCCCATCGTTGATAAGTCCATCGCTCGCTCTAGCAAGATGGATCGACAAGCACGGTCCTCTCATCACCATTCGCTCTGGAACTGAGAAAATCGTTGTTATTGGTCGTTACAACGTCAGTCCCTCCAAATTGAGTCACATCTAGGTTTAAAATCGTGTTGCAGGCCGCGGTGGATATCATGGAGAAGCAGGGCGCCTCGATAGCTGATCGTCCTCGCCGCGTTGCTGCTGGAGAAATGCTTGGTGGTGGGATTGTCAATGCTCTTTGCATCCCCCGGAGACAAGCTGCGTCGGATGCGTAGGTTCGTTTATTGCTCGCGATACTGCATCACCCCAATCTTACTCTGCAATGTGAATATTACGTGATGTAGAGCAGCTTCATGCGCATCTTCAGCCTAAAGTAGCTGAGGAATACCAGCCCCTCCAGATGTCACACGCGAAGGACACCGTCCTCAACATTCTTGAAGACCCATACAACTTCCAGAACCATGCAAGAACGTAAGCGCTTGTCCTACGTTCGGGGTTATCACAGTACATTACTTACAGGTATTTTGAAGTTATGCTGCGACCGTCATTACGGAAGTTGCGTACGGCAAGCGTACGGTCACATCTGCGACGGATCCTGAAGCCAGAGAAGTTCGCGAGCAAATCCAAATCCTTCGTACAGCCCTACTCCCTAATGCTTACCTGGTGGACTCCATACCAGTGGCTCAAATATCTCCCTTGGTATGGTCGAGAATTGAAACAGGCATTTAAGAGGGCCGGGCAGCTCTACACCGGGCAGCTGAACCGCGTGAAACAACAAATAGTACGCATGGCCTTGCCGATCTTGACACGACGTTTGAATCGTTCCATAGCAGAGCAATGTGGACATTGGTCCTTCGTTCGTAAAACATATGCTAGAAAATGTCGAACTCCACGGCTTGTCAGAGGTGGAGATGTCTTTTCTTGCTGGCGGCTTCTTTGCAGCTGGAACTGATACGGTGAGGTGTCTTGTGCTATTTTTCTGAACATATGTAATTGAAACTAGGCGTTAGACTACTTTTGCAATATGCACGGTGCTCATGGCAGCCGCATGTTTCCCCGAGGAGCAAGATAAAGTCCAGGTCGAGCTTGATGCAGTCATAGGAAGACACCGAGGTATATAGCTCGATTCATATTCCAGGTGTATCGATTCAAGGATGTCTCTGCTACAGCACCGACCTTCGCTGACGAGCAGTCCCTTCCTCGTCTTCGAGCCTTTATCTCCGAGGCTTTGAGATGGAGACCGCTGGCTCCCGAAGGTAGGCAATCTTCAGTCGTCGCTTTTGTACCTGAAGTTCATGGCACACGGCAGGAATCGCTCACCGGACGACTAAGGAGGTTATTTGGGCAAGTACTTTTCAAATTACTTTATCGTGCGAATTATGATCGGGCATCAGGGAAAGTATTACATTCCAACTGGGACTACAGTGGTCGGCAATCATTGGTAAGTGACATCCAAGATATGAAGGACCGATAGTTACTTGCGTCAGGTGCATCTCTCGAGACCCAGAGGTCTTCCCCGAGCCTGATGCTTTCAAGCCTGAGCGCTGGATTGACGACCGAGGTCGCGTCAGGGACGATCTGAAATTCTTTGTGTTTGGGTTTGGTCGGCGGTAAGCAACCGTCTTTCAAGATCTTATCTTTCATTATCCGTGTTTCAAGCGTTTGCCCCGGTCAACACGTTGCGACTAGGTAAATGTTTCTTTCCAAGCACATGATTCTTCGAATTAATTTCCATTGCTAAAGATCGGTGTTCATAAACTCGCTCCTTATTCTTTGGGCCTTCCGGCTGAATCTGAATCCTACGAAGCCACTGGATGACATGGGGTTCATGAGGGGAAAGGCCCAGCCGGGCACTATTGAGTTTACCACGAGGATTCCTGCGTCTGAGGTCAGGCGCATGATGCAGAATTATCCGGAGGAGCGTTGAAGCGGATCTACTATTCCTGTAGGGTCTCGCAGTATCAGGATTACAAGATTGAGTTGTGTATAATAGTTCACTATGCAGACTTGCTTTATGTTATTCATTTTCTCGCAGTTCATCCACTGAGTTGGATCATACTTATTGTCAGATGAGTCTATGGTATGTGGGTGTCATGCATCAATGCATCAACATAGACCACTTGCGTTACAAGCCAACGTGTCTTTATAATCCTTGAAGCTAACGTCGTAATTTGACTGTATAGTAGAGTCACAAAAGGATGAAGAGGGTACGGGTTGAGTAATATGGCGCGGCTAATTAGTCTTATTATTCTCCTAATACATACGATAATGTCCGAAGACTCCACGCAGAGTTGCAGACTCTGGGGGCAGTTCCCCAGGCAGTCAATGTCCCATGCCTACGTAAGATGCCAAGAAACAAACAAAGCCAAAACTCTCATTACCATGGATGACAGTCCCCTCCGTCCCATCGGGACACCTGAGTTGCATCTCCCACGACGAACACAGCTCTTGCCATCCATGCACCGTTGTACACCTTTTCGATCCACCAACGGAGCACGGGGTGGCGCATGAACCATTTAAAGTAGACATAATATCTAGCATAGTACATGAGCTGTTGTCTGAGTCCTGATAACGCTGCATGCGACATACCTCCACCGGTACGCATTAATGACCCTTGGGTTGACGTACATGCGCTGTAGATTGAACTGTCGCCTGAGGTCATATGGTATAAAGAAACTTTCGGACGAAAAACATTCCCCTGGCGCAGAGACGCGGAACTTTATTGGGGGTGTCAGAGCAGGACTAGGACCGCTCATAGAAGCGTCTTGTGTTGCCGGGTGGGTTGAGGGCAATTCGTATGGTAAAGGATCATGGGAAAGCGTGCGGTTAGATCGCAATGCTATCGGAATAAGAGGATCTGCAGCGAAGACAACGATACCATTCCAGCAGGTGAATACGGGCACAGGAGCATCCTCCAGCATGGAATGATAGTCAGCTTCGTCGAAGAAATATGGCCAGCTACGTGTCGAATAGATTGAATTAGATGTGTCTGCATGAACACAGAATTGATAACTCACATTCCACTGGCGAGCTTTGCCTGTCGATCTCGAAGAACCCACATATCATACGCGCTTTCCGGCCGTTAGGATCACAGGTATGTCATAGGAGCTGGATGTGCCTACCCAAAATGCCCAAAGTCTAGCCCACATGCCATATCGTAATCTCCACCGTTCGTCTCCAATAACTCTACCAAGCTCTCGGGCTCGATAAATATATCATTCGAGAACACTACCCTATCATACCCTCCTGCGAGCAAGGGCTCCAGTGCGCGGTTACGCGTGGCCGCCAAGAATTCGATGCGATCACTTCCGCCCATATCGTCAGGTCTCGATATTGTCTCATCTCCTGTGAGTATGCGCCGCGACACACCCAAAAGCGCAAGGTCTGCATCTAATGCTCGCAGGAGCTGAGGGGAGCTATCGGTACTGTAACTCTCGACGACAGAGACGAAAACATTGTCTGGACCGAGATAATGGATGACTTTGATAAGAGAGTTATGCCAGTAGGGAATAACTAGTTCATTATTATAGAACATTGCAGCAACGAAGATTTTCTCTAAAGCCGCATAAGCTACCTTCAATTCGACATGTTCAAGAAACTTACCTTGTTTGCCGTAGCCTTGTCTTCGAGGATGTGCGACGGCCGACTGGATTGAATCTCTGTAGCGTACATCGCCAGGCTGCTCATAATGCAGTCCGACCCACGAGCTCGCGCAAAAAAGCACAATGTATGCGAGAAGCTGTATCCACCAGAATTTGGGATGCGGGACTACATGTCTTGCAGCAGGAGACACAGGTCTAGAGGAGCGCTCACTGCCTTCTTCGGCATTTTCCAACAGTGCATTTTCTTCCTCGGCAGCGTCAAATAGTTCAGTTGGTGCGTCGGCAGCGCCATTTCGCTGGAGCATGACATACCCTTGCTGGGAAATGTCCGTGCGTGCAACTGCTCCATTCCATCGGTTGATGATTAGAGGAAGCAGAAATCGCAATATTTGAATGAAGGCAAAGATGGGCACTATGAAGAGGAGTAGGAGTAAGAACCTCCAACTTAAGGGGAAAGCAGGTCTCCATCCAGTAAATCCCCAGAAGAACGCGACAGAAAAGACTATCTCAGTTACGATGTAGAGCGCCACGAGAATCGAGAGGGAAGGATTGGCCGAAATTGCGAGAACAACGCGAGAAACAACGTGGAGAATAGCCTTTGGTGTTAGGTAGACATGAGAGACTCCGAATTTTCTGGGAAGACGCCCGGCGTAAGCAGACTGGAATGAAGGCATGAACGACGGCAGTACTAGTGACTTTGGGGGACCACTGCATCATTTGATCAGGCTATCATATGCGTCATGATCACAGGCCGAGAAGTTGTTTGCTGCGCTTTTCGTGTTCCCGTCACATGCTGTGACATGTATGTAAGGTATGCCGGAATTCTGTCTCATATTATTGGATGACTAGTGGCAGCCTCAACAAAAGAGCCTGAACCGTATGCTTCGGGCTCTTTTGTTGATGGCCACTACGGATAGTCATCCAATATGGAGTATTTCGCTATCAGCTCTAGCCTAGTCTCTCAGGTCAGACATTGAAGCTTAAAAATCGATAAACGATATACAATTTTAATTGGCTGACTACGCTACTGATGGCCTAACCCGTGCCATCTGCCTTACAAACTCTTAGATTGGGCAACCCAGGTGAGTAGTCCCATCGCAAAATCATCTACATGTTAGTACTAGTCTCTCTAGTCTTTTTGTAGCCCACATCTTGGCCAAGCCTCAGGACCTCCCTCGGATTCGAAGCGCCAGCGGTATTCTTCTCAACTCTACTGTTTGGCTTTGAACAAAAATTTTCCGAACCACGTATAAACTTTTATTTTTACAGGTTACGCACTAGTGGGCCAGGGTTACCGAATCGTATCTGCCTTATTGATGGCTTACACAGCCAAAGCGTTGTTCTACCGAATCACACGTGTGTCCCCTATACGGGTTGCCTCCAAGGTCTCCCTACGTCCGTAATAATGATACCTGCCTAGCTAGGCCTCGCCGCACCACAAAGTCCGATGCGATCACTATAGATGTGACATTGCCTTATTAACTCCCAGGTGTACATAATAATGGTAATGGGGAATGTGCGTCACGGACGTGAGAGATTGGTGAGAGACACACTCGGTCTCTTCGGCAATCAGAATGTGAAATTTGGAGGATCTTCAGGTTTGAGATGATTGTGCGCTGGGACCTGCGGTACTTATATTCAGAACTGGATTGTCATCAATCCCTCCCTGCCCTCTCGTATCAATCATGATACAGTTATCCTGACCTGCGCGTTTCTGACAACACTCAGCTCGTCCTCAGTGCTGCGGCTTGTCTTGGGGTAGTAGGAGTGATTGCTCGGGCTCACCTTTATAAATCCAAAGAGTGGTCTTCCTCTTCCACCTTCCCCGCCCACTTGGAGACTTCGGGGGCACTTCATACCCCCTCGCAAGTAAAGTTCCTCATTTTACTCGTCACTTTCAATGCTAATCGTGTCACCTCGCTGATAAGTCCATTTCTCACTGTAGCAGGATGGATCGACGAGTACGGTCCTCTGATCACCATTCGCTCTGGAACTGAGAAAATCGTTATTATCGGCCGTCACAGCGTCAGTCCCTCCAAGTTGCATTATCGTATCCAGGCTCACAATGGTGTTGCAGGTCGCGGTGGATATCATGGAGAAGCAGGGCGCCTCACTAGCTGACCGACCTCGCCTCATTGCTGCTGGAGACATGCTTGGCGGCGGGGTGTCCACCGTCCATACACCCGCTGGAAGCTTATGGCGTCGGATGCGTAGGTTCGTTTGTTGCCTGAAAAGACTGCACGAATGTCAATCTTATTCTCCAATGTGATGCAGAGCACTTCATGCGCATCTCCACCCTAGAGCAACTGAGGAATATCAGCCTCTGCAGATGTCATACGCAAAGGACACCGTCCTCAATATCCTCAAAGATCCATACAACTTTCACAACCATGCGGCAACGTAAGCGCTGTCCTATGTTTGGGTTATCGCAGGTACATCACTTACAGGTATTTTGAAGTTACGCTGTAACGATCGTTACGAAAGTTGCGTACGGGAAGACTACGCCCATGTCTGCGACTGATTCCGTAGCCAGACGAGTTCGCGAGCACTTCCAAATCCTTCGTAGAGCCATACGCCCCGGTGCTTACTTGGTGGACTCCATCCCATGGCTCAAATACATTCCTTGGTATGGCCAAGAACTGAAAGAGGGTTTCGAGAAGAACCGACGGCTGTACATCTCTCAGCTGGACCGCGTGAAACAGCAAATGGTACGCATTGCCTTATCAATATCGATATGACGTCTGAATCGTTCCACAGCAGAGCAACGCGGACATCGGTCCTTCATTCGTTAAACATATGCTGGAAGGTGTCGAAGTCCACGGTTTGACAGAGCTGGAGATGGCTTTCACTGCTGGCGGCTTCTTTGCAGCTGGAATTGATACGGTAAGGTGCCTTTGGTCTGAAGATATGTAATTGAAAGCAGACATTAGACTACGTTGGCAATATGCACGGTGCTCATGGCAGCCGCATGTTTTCCCGAGGAGCAAGCTAAAGTCCAGGCCGAGCTTGACGCGGTTGTAGGAAGTCACCGAGGTAGCTACATTCCTATTCCAGGTATATCGATTCAAGGATCTCTCCCTACAGCACCGACCTTCGCTGATGAGCAGTCCCTTCCTCGACTGTGCGCCTTCGTCTCTGAGGCTTTAAGATGGAGACCCCTTGTTCCCGGCGGTGGGTATATTCATCATCGCTTTTGTACCTGAAATTTGCAACGTTTACATGACAGGGGTGGCTCACCGAACGACTAAGGACGTGGTTTGGGCAAGTGCTTTGTGAAATTCTTATTGTGCGAATGATAATCTGGCATCAGGGAAACTATTGCATGCCAGCTGGAACTACGGTGGTCGGCCATCATTGGTAAGCGTTCGTATTTCAAGGTACAAGAGTGTGATGGTTACTTCGTCAGGTCCATCTCTCAAGACCCAGATGTCTTCCCAGAGCCTGGTGCGTTCAAGCCTCAGCGCTGGATTGACGACGAAGGCCGTGTTAGGGACGATCTGAAATTCTTTGTATTCGGGTTTGGTCGACGGTAAGCAACTGTCTTCCAAGATTTTTTTTTCTTTCACTGTCCGTGTTTCAAGCGTATGCCCCGGTCAACACCTCGCGACCAGGTAAAAGTTTCCTTCCAAGTACATGATCATCCGAGTTTATTTCGACTGCTATAGATCAATTTTCATAAACTCGGCCCTCGTTCTTTGGGCCTTCCAGCTGAATCGGAATCCTACGAAGCCGCTGGATGATATGGGGTTTATGACGGGACATGCCCAGCCCGGCACTATTGATTTTAAGACAAGGATTCCGGAGACGGAGCTCAGGCACATGATGCAGAATTATCCTGAGCCTTGAAACTTAGGGATCTACCACGTAGTCCTCTAGGCATCAATTTTACAATGTACGAGTGATGTTGTGTATTATAATTGACCATTCAGGGCAGCCGGTCTGCCATACAACCCCATGCCAGAAGATGCTTTCATGTTTGGGAAACTGACCTACCTTGATGACCGCAGAGTGAAGACCACTGTGGATATCGGTCTGGTGAAGAGGTGAAGTAAGCTGTGCCAAAATAACCATGGTCGAAGGTGGAAGGTTTGGGAGAACGGCCCGGGGAACTCGCGATCGGGAGGAAGCTGCCCAGATCTGTGAGAGTGATGGACGTAGTATCGATGACTGTGATTCCTGCACCTTTTGGCGGTTGTTACAGTGTTGTCAACCCTCAGTCACATATGGGAAGGCATCGGCATAGAATATTGGATGCAGCTGAAGGATAACCTAACCGAGCGCTCCGCACCCGGGCTGAACACGGCAACCCTGAGACCATCGCCGATTTGACTCTATTCATTCGACAACTTAGGGAACCTTACATGTAGATCGGCCCTTTATGCATCATTCAAGAGATAAGTCCACTCTCATCACACATGCATAAGAATCACCGAAAGCAAGTGCATAGTCAACTATAATACACAACGCGTAATTTTCAAGATTGATACCTAGGGAAATTACTAGATCGCTAGGCTTCGGATTCAGGGCTCTCGGGATAACTCCGCATCATGCGCCTGAGATCCGTCTCCGGAATCCTTGTCTTAAAATCAATAGTGCCCGGCTGAGATTTTCCCATCATGAACCCCATATCATCCGGCGGCTTCGTAGAATTCAGCTTCAGCTGGAAGGCCCAAAGAATGAGGGCCGAGTTTATGAAAATCGATCTGTAGCAGTCGAAATAAACTCGGATGATCATGTACTTGGAAGATAACCTTTACCTAGTCGCGACGTGTTGACCGGGGCATACACTTGAAACACGGATAATGAGGGTAAAATACCCTGAAAGATGGTTACTTACCGCCGACCAAACCCGAATACAAAGAATTTCAGATCGTCCTTAACACGACCTTGGTCGTCAATCCAGCGCTGAGGTTTGAACTCATGTGGATCGGGGAAAACGTCTGGGTCTCGAGAAATGCACCTAACGAAATGACCATCAGTCCTTCGTTTTAGAGGAAGACGTTTACCAATGACTGCCAAACACCGTAGTTCCAGCTGGAATGCAATAGTTTCCCTGATGCCAGATCATCATTCGCACAATAAGTGATTCCAAAAATACTTGCCCAAACCACTTCCTTAACCGTTCGGTGAGCCACTCCTGCCAAGTAAACGTTGCAAACTTCAGGTACAACAACGACGATGAAAATACCCACCGCCGGGCATCAGTGGCCTCCATCTCAAAGCCTCAGAGATGAAGGCGTGTAGTCGAGGGAGGGACTGTTCGTCAGCGAAGGTCGGTGCTGTAGGAAGACATTAGTTGAATCGATACACCTGGAATAAGAATAGAAGATTACCCCGGTGGCTTCCTACGACCGCATCCAGCTCGGCCTGAACTTTAGCTTGCTCCTCGGGAAACATTGCGGCTGCCATGAGCAGCCGTGCATACTGTCAAAGTAGTCTGATGTCTGCTTTCAATTACATATCTTCAGACACAAATGTACAAGACACCTCACCGTATCAATTGCAGCTGTAAATAAGGCGCCGGCAAGAAAAGCCATCTCCAGCTCTGTCAAACCGTGGACTTCGACACCTTCCAGCATATGTTTAACGAACGAAGGACCGATGTCCACGTTGCTCTGCTGTGGAACGATTCAGACGTCATATCAATATTGATAAGGCAATGCGTACCATTTGCTGTTTCACGCGGTTCAGCTGAGAGATGTACAGCCGTCGGTTCTTCTCGAAACCCTCTTTCAGTTCTTGGCCATACCAAGGAATGTATTTGAGCCATGGGATCGAGTCCGCCAAGTAAGCACCGGGGCGTATGGTTGTACGAAGGAGTCGGAGGTGCTCGAGGGCTTGTCTGGCTTCGGAGTCAGTTGCAACGGTGGGCGTAGTCTTCCCGTACGCAACTTTCGTGATGACCGTCGCAGCATAACTTCAAAATACCTGTAAGTGATGTACTGTGATAACCCGAACCTGGGACAGCACTTACGTCGACACGTGGTTTTGGAAGTTGTATGGATCTTCAAGCATGTTGAGGATGGTGTTCTTTGCATGTGACATCTGGAGGGGCTGATACTCCTCAGCTACTTTAGGCTGGAGATGCGCATGAAGTGCTCTGCATCACATTGCAGAGTAAGATTGGGGTTATGCAGTATCGCGGGTAACAAACAAACCTACGCATCCGACGCAACCTGTCTCCAGTAGATGTAAAGAGGATTCCCAGCCCGCCACCAAGCATTTCTCCAGCAGCAACGAAGCGAGGTCGGTCAGCTAGCAAGGCGCCCTGCTTCTCCATGATATCCACCGCGGCCTGCAACACCATTGTAAGCCTGAATACGATAATGCAACTTGGAGGGACTGACGCTGTGGCGGCCGATAATAACGATTTTTTCAGTTCCAGAGCGAATGGTGATCAGAGGACCGTACTCGTCGATCCATCCTGCTACAGTGAGAAATGGGCTGATCGGCAATGGGACACATAATCATTAGCATTGAAAGCAATGTGGAAAATGCGGAACTTTACTTGCGAGGGGGCGTGAAGTGCCCCCGAAGTCTCCAAGTGGGAGGGGAAGGTGGAAGAGGAAGACCACTCTTTGATTTATGAAGGTAAGCCTGAGCAATCACTCCTACTACCCCAACACAAGCCACAGCGCTGAGGACGAGCTGGGTGTTGTCAAAAACGCGCAGGTCAGGCAGCTGTAGCATGATTGCTATGGAAGGAGGAAACTGATGCGGTATCCAAGCTATGAATGGCTTTTTAAGTTCTCGCACTGCCTCTAGGACAATGGTAGGTCAGCTAAGAAGCGTCTATCATACTCCAGGTGACCTAGCCGTATTGCCAATAAGGCAAGTTCATGCGTTGATCGCACCGGGTCAGGTTGTCGTGCTTCTTCAACTCATACAGCTGCTAGTGGCAAACGAATAGGTGCGACCTCTAAAGATATTGCAGGACATGGCACATGACCGTCAATTCGGGAGAATCAAGGACAGTTATGTAGTAAAACGAACCGACACGACGTACTTAGCCAGATCCTTAGTCTTACGATCATGTGATACCCAATCGATATGATGAGAACAAGGTCAGACGGTCCGAAACGATAGCCTGTCTCCATGGTCGATCCACAGTTTGATTGTGCTCAGGCCTCATTCATACTCCGGTTCATCACATGATCTAGCGTGACATTCCAACGAATTTGCGTTTACAGCTGTTTGCATAAAGGATGGCACTGGCGTGAAATTTTCGTTCAATTAGGAAATGTTAGACTTAGTGAAATTTTGCTCGTGTACACTCACATCCCCTGTAATTCATTATCATCATGCCGTTTATAACTATTCCTGCCTACAAAAAACACAAGAGCCTGCTAGAGCATGACAGTGACCTTGATTCCAATGGGTCCGATGAGGACGATATTCGAATGAAAGAACTTTCGGAGGAAGAGGAACCTGACTCTGATGACGACGGCGAAGATGACGAGCTTGAGCAGTCCCAGCCCATGAAGATCCTTACACCACCTCCGACCACACCCAAAAAGCGAAAGCATGGAACTAAAATCTGTGACTAATGATCCCTACTACATGCACCTATGGCTTGATTGCTTCTTTTTGCAGCACCTTCCAACCCTGACCCTCTAGCAGGTGTAAAAGAGGTCACCTTCATCACGAGCATCACCTCTACAGCTGAGATGAAGAAACACGCAAGCAAACATACCTCGAGGAACCAAACCTTCACACTCAATCTTGACGAGCCTTGGGACACCATGAAAGCTCAGACTCTCGTCAAAATCTCGGATGCACTGAACCCCCGACTTCTCAGCTACGAGGATTACGAGATCTCCTGGTTCATTCCGCGTGTCCTCCCCAAACCTGGCTTATCCCTCCTCAACGAGAAAGATTTCGATGTTTTGGTGAAGCGGGCAGTGAATCTGAAAGGCAATGATCCAACCATCAATGTCACAATTATTCAGAAGGAGAATGATGACCTCAAGGAGAACAATCGGGCTGTGATTGAATCGACTGTGAATGATAAGGGTAAAAAACGAGTAGGTGCAGTTTTTGAGTGTTTTACGTGCCGATTTTCATGCATATACTCTACTATTCAGAAGGAAGCAGCTGCTGTTCTTCCTGGAAATCAACACAAGATTGCGAACATCCAGAGCCTCCGTGAGCATTGGATTTGCAAGAAACCAGATGCTGCCTGTCCATCAACACATTGCTACGTTGATTCAAGCACGGACGAACATCTGTATCTCAATGCCGAATGGTTGGATTGCTGGGCATCTGCAATGGTGAGTCATTTATCGAAGAGCTGCCTGTTGCTAACAAATGGTGATTCATAAAGCTCAAAGATGACGGGACAGCAACACTGGAGAAGCCACCCCATCATAGGCTCTTTGATGTTCGAAAGATCAGTCCTGTACTTCAGTGATGGCTGGACTCTCAAAACAGTAAAGTGCCATCACCTTCTGCACCAGTCTTCAACTTCACCATCGGAAATGAGGTTCATGACATTTTTTGCCCACAGCGGCTGCCTGCAGTTGCTGCCACACCAGCAGTATCCTCGTCTGACTCTGCTTGTACTACACTCTTGCATCCATCTCGTGCTCAAGGGAGGGATATACCACTTGACGAATTCTGCACGGAATATGACTTGGGCAACAATATCCACGTGAAGTTCACCGAGAATGCATATAAGGAGGCTCGGTTCTTACGCTTTGTTACAATTGCCGAGTTGAAAGAGATGGGCTTCCAATTGGGTGAAATTGCTGTGCTATGTGATGTTGTTGAAAGGTGGTCTGTCCCGCGTGTTTGATACTGTATGAAATTGTGACTTTACAGGACTTTGCCTCAGATTGGACTTCTACACAAACGGACTTCTACGCAAACAATTGTGCTAATAGCCTGCATGCATACTGTACATTTTTGGACCTTCCATTGCTCTCACTCGCTAGAAGTACCCTGCATGAATAAAATACCCATGTGCATCATCTGCAGTGATGATCTCCAGAACCTCGTACATATCAAACAAGATCCCATCACCTGTAGTGGCTAGATAGTAGTCTTGATGATGACGCAGCCAGTGTTTTATTTTTGAGAAGGCTTCCTCGATGGGGTTGAGGTCGGGGGAGTACAGTGGGAGAAACTCAATACGCACACCTGCAAACACAAAATATAGTGAAGCACATGGAGTATTAGTGAAAGCACACACCAAAATGATCAACGAGCTCGAGAACTTCAGCACCGTGGTGTATTTTCGCATTGTCCATTACAAGGACACTAAGGGGACCAGGATAGGCTGAACACTTTGGGAGCTAGTGAAGTTTTTTTTGGTACATCAGCAGTACATATTCACGGTGAGACTTACGACAATGTTCTCAAGCCACTCTAGGAACAACTCCTGGGTCATAGAGCCTTCGACAACGGTTGCAGCGACAATGCCATCCAGCGTGAGGAGGGCTTCTGTGGATGTCCGCCGTCCACGCACAAACACCTGCTTTTTCTCTGCATGGGTGCCTGTCCTTGATCGTCCATAGCGTCTACCAGGTGTCCGCTCATCTTTTGACGTCTCGTCAATAAATCCCAACTCTGATGGATCATACTGAGCCATGCGTGCAATGAACGCAGCGCAGAGAGTCTCGTTGCATTCCTCGGCAATGCGCTTGAGTTTCTTGTAGCTCACATCAGCACGTTCGAGCTCGCGGAAGATTGTCGTGAAATGGACAGATATGAATTGGTTTGTCGCGAGGAGGTGCATGAGCTCATCCAAAAAATAGTCAGGATTCTGCCTTACAAGGCGAAGCAGGCAATCGATATCTTCATGATCGAGAGCACGCAGACGACCACGCATTGCTGTGTTAGGCTGACGGTCCATGACATTGCCGGTTTCATGCCAGAGCTTCAAAATCTGAAACCAAGTGCGTCTGGAAAATCCGCAGCAATCTAGGATATCACGAAGGCTTAGAAGGTTCCGTTCATGGAGTCAGATTGCTGCAAGTTTCACGTCACAACTGATCTTGCGAAATCCCATGTTGTGAAGCTGATGATATAAGGGTAGTATGAGCGTACACGAGCAAAATTTCACACCAGTGCCATCCTTTATGCAAACAGCTGTAAGTCATTGTACACTGAGTAGGAGCAAAATCTGTTCCATGATTATATGCGGATAGCGTGTAGCAAGCTGGACATGTAAATCTAATGTAGGGAACTGAGAGACGAGTAGGCATTATACGTTCAAAGTGAGCACCACCAATGTGACAGATTCACTAGATCTGTGACAGACACACTACAGTCTATCTACCTCACTATGCCACGAAAGAGGCCTTCACACATAGCAAATCTTGCTGGTGCTGCTGGTCAAAAGTTCAATTATGAAGAAAATGTAATAATTTAGTAACTTACTTGTAGTTTCTGTTCACGGTTCACCACACACCACTGTAGAAAGGACGGGTTATATAATTTCAGTGGATGTTAGACTTATATAAATTCGGTGGATTATGCACTGATATTCTCTATACCAAAAATCCACTGATCCGGCACGCATCTGTTATATAACATCAGTGGATAAAATCCACTGAAAACCGTAACTTTATTCAGTGCATTGAAAAGTATACCACTGAATTTCCAGTAAATGTATGCAGGCTTAGAAATTCAGTGGTGGTGGGAAATTCAGTGGGTGGTGGGAAATCAGTGGATTCCAGCTGCACCCCAGTCTGGGTCCAAAATACATGATGCGAGCATTATTACTACATGGTGCACAATATAACTTATCTATAACATAATGGAGGGTATGAGTTGTGTTGCTGCGCTCAAGAAGTCCCAATCAATGTGCAGAGAGTCCACAGTAGCTAGGAGGAAGAAAGTTCGAATGTGATTTGATGTTGTGTTGGTGATCTGGGGTGGTGGCATTCAGAACAAATCCAAGGTGACTGCAAATGAAGATGACAACAACAATGAAGTCAGTATGTAGCAAGAACAATGTGGAAATGAACCAGGAAGTGTGAGGTCTTACTGGTCAGCACTGTGCATGGTTCAAGTTTTCTGATCATTTTTGCGTCAGTTTTGCAATTCATCACGCAAATGATCACACCTTTGTGGATGCTCGAGCCCGCTTGGCAGGGGGAGGTGCAGCAGAATCGTCGTGACAACCTGAAAACTTGGAGGGTCCGGGTGCAGGCTGAACTGGGGCGTGGGGGGCCTTTTATGCAAGGAAGACTTGAGCGTTCACATTCAAAGGTGATAAATAGTCACATACCTTGATTGAAAAATCAACCGCTGGTCGCTTGCATGCAACTGCCATGATAATGTCATCAATATCATGATCGCAGCCTCAATCATCAATTCCTTGCAGCATGTCACCAACATCTCCACTCCTGGTCATGTACTCGTAGGTGTCCATCTCGTCCTCCAACTTGAGATCTTCCATGATCAACCAAAGGGCTATGAAGGGAATGAGGATAAAGTGGGTATACTGTTGAAGAGTCAATGGCTGAAACGCAGTTGTAGAAGTAGTTGTTGGATCAACTAAGTGCTGAATGCACGCCTGGATCACGGTGTAACCTTTCAGCCCATAGCCAGTTGGGTAGAAAAATTCAACCTGACGAGTCCCTTCACAATTAGCAAGTACTTACTAGCCAGGTCGAGCAACATCGAGTAGTAGTTGAGGCACATATTGCAGTAACATATCTCCATATTATATGAGTGAATGGACGTGCATAATATCCCGTATGATATGGGCCAGTGGACCATGGGCCGAAGGTAGATATATCCTCGACTATGACAGATGGGCCGGGAGTGTTATTATTCCTGATGGAGACGGGTGGGCCCATGTAGGGAATATGTAGAGTAGATGAGTGGGCCGATGGACATGAATATTCAATAGACGGATGGGCCGAGGTAGTTGGATATTATGTAGATGGGTTTACCAACGTAGATGTGTATCAAATAGCCGGGTATGTCAAGGGTGCTTGTTATCACATAGACGGGTGGGCCCAGATATATATCATATTAGACGGGTGGGCCAACAAATTAAGATTATTTTGTAGATGGGTGGGCCAACATATTGGTATTATTTTGTAGACGGGTGGGCCGAGGGAGTGGTGAAATATTTATTATATATACGGGTGGGCTGAAGGTAGTCGTATATTGCATAGACGGGTAGGCCGATGTGGGGGTATATAATATAGACAGGTGGGCCGAGAGAGCAATTTATTAGATATTATATAGATGGGTGGGCCGAGGTAGTTGGATATCACATATACGGGTGGGCCCAGATACATATCATATAGACATATGGGCTGAGGTGGTAGTATATTATATAGACATATGGGCCAAGGTAGTAGTATATGATATAGACAGGTGGGCTGAGATGGTTGATATCATATCCACGGGCCGGGTAACATCTATCAAGTTCCAGGTAACATCTATCGAGTTCTGGGTAACATCTATTGATGTCCGGGTAACTAATATCGAGTTCCAGGTAACTAATATCGACTTCTGGGTAACATCTATTGATGTCCAGGTAACTAATATTGAGTTCCAGGTAACTAATATTGACTTCTGGGTATTTCATAAATTGAACAAATCACCAAGTACCGAGTACCGAGTTCCGGGCATCAAGTTCTGGGCATCGAGCACCAAAACACGAAACTAAAATACAACATTTTGTAAATTGAACAAATCACCAAATACCTAGTACCGAGCTCCGGGCACCGAGTTCCGGGCATCGAGTTCTGGGCATTGAGCACCGAAACACAAAACTAACATTTCATAAATTGAACAAATCACCAAGTACCAAGCACCAAGTTCTGGGCACCGAGTGCCGAGTACTGAGTTCCGGGCATCGAGTACCAAGTGCCGAAACCCAGCACTCGGCACTTGGTACTCGATACCTGGAACTTGGTACTCGTGCTGAATATATTGGTAGATCTTAACCTATTGATGTCATGAGACTATGGATAGACTCCCCTAGACAAGGGCTACAACTTTAGTTTTCATCGAAAAAGTTCCCACGGTCTACAATATCAAGTCCCGAGAACCGAGCACCAGGCACTGAGTACCAAGTACCGAGCACTGAGCACTGAATACTCGGTACTCAGTACTTAGTACTCAGTTCCCGGTACTTGATACACAATGCTGAATATCTTGGTACTCAACTGAGCACCGAGCACCAAGCACCAAGCACCACACACCAAGCACCAAGCACTGGGCACCGGGCACCGGGCACCAAGCACCGAGCACCAGGCACCAAGCACCGGGCACTGGGCACCAGGCACCGAGCACCGAGCACTGAATACTCAGTACTCGGCACTCGGTACTTAGTACTCAGTTCCTGGTACTTGATACTCAATCCCAGTAGAAGTCCACTGTTCCCAGAATGGCTGAGGTTGTGCGAGATTGTGCGAAATTTTGAGATGAAGCTGAGATTGTTTGAGATTGGCTGGCGGTGTTAGTGCACTAGTCTGAGATTGTGCGAGGTTGTATGTCTCTAACGTCGTCACTGCACATTGCATGTTGCACACAACAAATTGCATACATTTTACACAACGTCAATGGCGAAGCTTATCCGAGTCCCAGGTCCACGGATTTAGGATGACTTGGAGTATTTGAGAATCCTAAGTCCCCAACCACAGCTTTTCCCTCAACTGTCTTTCCTCTTTCTCCCCAACCATCATCTTCACTCCAAACCATCTCCCAAGTTCACTCCAGTCAATCGTCGGTCCACCTACTTCTAATAACTTTATTTTCCCTCTGGTGATTTTAGAGGCCCTCTCACTCAGAATGACTTATACTGGATGCACTCAGAATCTGATTCTGAGGACTGGAGGGAATGTTTAAGTGAATATATGCGCATATATTCATCCTTTGGTGAGTTGTTGATTGGCGCTTTCATGCATTATCTTTCCCCCTGGCTCACATTTATGAATTGTCCTGCACTCGTGACTCGTAGAGATGGCTACCATACTGACCCCAGAATACTCCCTAGATTCCTCTGATGCATCTGATGGGGCTGTCCCACCAGTCACCATTGCCACCGATCCGATACAAATTACTAGTAAGTATTACCACATAACTGCATAACTAACTCAATCTCCTCCAGCACATGAATGGCTCGCTCGCAACAAGACTGGATCAGTAGCCGAGTTCAAGACCTACTACGATGGACTGTCAGAAGTGCAGAAAAAAGTGCGTCTTTTGTATCGTTTGTCCTCGGGTTGGACTAATATCTTTAATCAGTCATACGACGAGCTCGCTGCCAAGAAGGTAAGTAGCGACTACGACTAGAACATGTTGCACCTACTGACAAGTACTCTTTCTACTAGGTTGCAGCTGGCGAATGGCTCCATTAGCGACACCACTCTCCTTCCGACTTCTTACGACCTAGAACGAGCATGACCTAGAACGAGCATGGGGTAGAACGGACGGTGGCAGGAACGAGCACGGGCTAGAACAGACGGTGGTGGGATGCATCGAGTTTTATTATATCCGGCGTCTACCTGTAATAATGTATATACTACACAATACCAGCAGATCTGGCACAATATAGGGTGACATGCAAATATTGCATCTAAACAATCTGCGACAATCACGCACAATCACACACATTTGCACATGTGCTATTAGTCTCATTTTTCTCTTGAGATTGTGTCGCTTAGTTCAGACAATTTCACGCAACCTCAGCCATTCTGGGAACAGTCGACTTCTACTGGGACTCAATGCTCAATATCTTGGTAGATCTTAACCTATTGGTGTCATGAGACTATGGATAGACTCCCCTTGACAAGGGCTACAATTTTGATTTTTATCTACATAGTTCCCACGGTCAAAGTGCTTTCTTGAACCCTCCATTTGCAAGTATTTTGCGTATATCCTACCAGGATCTTAACCTATTGATGTCATGAGACCATGGATAGACTCCCCTAGACAAGGGCTACAACTTTGGTTTTCATCGAAAAAGTTCCCACGGTCTACAATATCGAGTCCCAAGCACCGGGCACCAGGCACCAGGCACTGGGCACCAAGTACCGAGCACCAAGCACTGAATACTCAGTACTCAGTACTTGGTACTCAACTGAGCACCGAGCACCGAGCACTGAGTACCGAGCACCGAGCACCGAGCACTGAGCACTGAGTACTGAGCACCGAGCACCGAGTACCGAGCACTGAGCACTGACTACCGAGCACCGAGCACCGAGCACTGGGCAGATATTTATCTAAAAAGTTCCCATGGTCAAAGTGCTTTCTTGAACACTCCATTTGCAAGTATTTTGCTTATATCTTACTAGGATCTTAACCTATTGATGTCATGAGACTATGGATAGACTCCCCTAGACAAGGGCTACAAATTTGGTTTTCATCGAAAAAGTTCCCACGGTTTACAATATTGAGTACCGAGCACCAAGCTCTGAATACTCGGTACTTGGTACCTACTTGATACTCAGACCTCGGTACTCAGTATACAATGCTGAATCTCTTGGTACTCAACTGAGCACTGACTACTGACTACTGAGCATTTAGTATATTGAGTATTGAGTATTGAGTACCAAGCACCGAGCACTGAATACTCAGTACTTGGTACCTACTCAATACTCAATACTTGGTACTCGGTACTTGATACTCGATGCTCAGTACCTACTCAATACTCAATACTTGGTACTTGGTACTTGATACTCAATGCTGAATATCTTGGTACTCACCTGAGCACTAAGCACTGAGTACTGACTACCAAGTATTTAGTATTTAGTATCAAGTACCGAGTATTGAGTACCAAGCACCAAGCACTGAATACTTGGCACTCAGTACCTACCTGATACTCAACACTCAGTACTCAGTAATTGGTACCTACTCAATACTCAATACTCAATACTCTGTACTCAGCACTGAGCACTGAGCACTGAGTTCTGACTACCAAGTATTGAGTACTGAGTATCAAGTACTGAGCACCGAGCACTGAATACTTGGTACTCAGTACCTACTTGATACTCAAGTACCTGTATAGTGTACCCTCCCTCAGATACATCATATCACTGGACCAGGACACCTACACGATCCTTCTACAGCAACAAAAATTGATAAATCATGTGTTTCACATTTCTCATGTTTTTGATTGTTCTATCCTTGCATAAATAATCCAATATATTCATATATCATTAGCATAGCATATATACTTGCTTTTCATGACCAGGATCAGCTCAAAATATGCTGTTGCTTTGAGATGGTGTATATACTTGATATTTCTACTGATAAAAGGCCCATATCTCTGAATTATTGAACTTTAATGATCAGACACCTAGAGTATATTTCACATATATTCAGTATGATGGATCTAAAATTACAGAAAGATCCACCAGGAATTGAGAGCTGGGGAAGTGAAATAGATAATAAATCGAGTGTGGGAAATGTCAAAGCTCAAATGCCCTAAACATCAAAAATGGTCAGTTGGTGTATCCTTGGCTATGGGCAACCAATTCAAACACTTCTATGCCACATCCCTCCCACCAACACTCTACCCTCAGGGCAGTATGCAGTATAGGTTCCTTAGGTAGTCCACCATGTATCCTACACATTTTTAATGAAATCTTCAACCTGTATCATATATAAATGTGACTTTGTGTGAACAGATGTCAATTGTCACTTTTCATACATATATTGTTTTGCTTGTCATTCACTCAATCCTGGATGGATCTTTCTAAGCCTTTAAGGCTATCATTTACCATGTGGGCTTTTGATCAGTAGAAATATCCCCTTTACATCAGATCTCAAATTTCCGGCCTAAATATCACTGATCCTTAGCATAATAAATGTAATAATGACAGTCTATGAGTGACTTGGATAATCTGTGTAAGGGTAGGGTGGTAAAACATATCAAAATGTCACAATTGTAATTTGTCAAGTGTTGTTCCTATGGAAGGATCATGTAGGTGTCCTGGTCTATCTATATGATGTATCTACTACCAATATTCATAGAAATAGACCCCATACCTGGGTGCTTGGTGCTTAGTGCTTGGTGCTCAGTAGTGGGTACTCAGTGTGCTCAGTGCTTAGTTGAGTACCAAGATATTCAGCATTGAGTATCAAGTACTGGGAACTGAGTACCAAGTACCAAGTTTTGAGCATCGAGTAGGTACTGAGTACCGAGTATTCAGTGCTTGGTGCTCGGTATTCAATTTTATAGACCGTGGGAACTTTTTCGATGAAAATCAAAGTTGTAGCCCATGTCAAGGGGAGTCTATCCATAGTCTCATGACATCAATAGGTTAAGATCCTAGTGAGGTATAAGCAAAATACTCGAAAATGAAGGGTTCAAAAGTGTTAAGGTACATATTGAGTAGTGAGTAGGTACCAAGATATTCAGCATCGAGTATCAAGTACTGAGTACCAAGTATTGAGTATTGAGTAGGTACCGAGCATCGAGTATCAAGTACCGAGTCCTGAGTATTCAGTGCTCGGTGCCTGGTGCCCGGTGCCCGGTGCTCGGTGCCCGGTGCTCGGTGCCCGGTGCTCGGTACTCAATATTGTAGACCGTGGGAACTTTTTCGATGAAAACTAAAGTTGTAGCCCTTGTCTAGGGGAGTCTATCCATGGTCTCATGACATCAATAGGTTAAGATCCTGGTAGGATATAAGCAAAATACTTGCAAATGGAGTGTTCAAGAAAGCACTTTGACCATGGGAACTTTTTAGATAAATATCTGCCCGGTGCTCGGTGCTCGGTGCTCAGTGCTCGGTGCTCGGTAGTCAGTGCTCGGTGCTCGGTGCTCGGTGCTCGGTAGTTGGTGCTTGGTGCTCGGCACTCAATATTGTAGACCGTGGGAACTTTTTCGATGAAAACCAAAGTTGTAACCCTTGTCTAGGGGAGTCTATCCATAGTCTCATGACATCAATAGGTTAATATCCTAGTAAGATATAAGCAAAATACTTGCAAATGGAGTGTTCAAGAAAGTACTTTGACTGTGGGAACTTTTTAGATAAATATCTGCCTGGTGCTCGGTGCTCGGTGCTTGGTAGTCAGTGCTCGGTAGTCAGTGCTCAGTGCTCGGTACTCGGTGCTCGGTGCTCGGTACTCAATATTGTAGACCGTGGGAACTTTTTCGATGAAAACCAAAGTTGTAGCCCTTGTCTAGGGGAGTCTATCCATGGTCTCACGACATCAATAGGTTAAGATCCGAGTCGGTACTCGGTACTCGGTGATTTGTGTGTATCATCTTACATTTGTATTTCTGTACACATTTCACCGAGTACTGAGTACCGAATCTCGGGTGTCGGGTGTCGGTACTTGACTCAAAACTCAAAACTCAAAACTCGAATCTTGAATCTTGAAACTCAAAACTTGCATAAATCTGAGTTTTGAATCCCAAGACTCGAATCACTGAGTACCAAGTACTGAATCTCGGGTGTCGGTACTCGGTACTCGGTACTCGGTACTCGGGTGTCGGGTGTCGGTACTCGACTCGAAACTCGACACTCGAATCTTGAATCTTGAAACTTGAAAGTCGTATAAATCTGAGTTTTGAATCCCAAGACTCGAATCACCGAGTACCGAGTACCGACACCCGAGATTTGGTACTCGGTACTCGGGTGTCGGGTGTCAGTACTCGACTCGAAACTCGTAAAAATGTATGAGTTTCCAGTTGAGGTTTGAATTTCAAGTTGAGTCTCTCTTGAGTCTCCAGTCTGGGTGTTTGGGACTCCGGTTTCGGGTTTCAGGGTTCAGTACTCAGTACTCATTACTTGGTGAATGTCAGACATGGTGTATTCAGGCTTTCTGGTATCTATCTACTTGACGAAGATGTTTCGATTGACAAGCACTGTGGTGAAACGTGACTGTGATCTTATTAGTATCACTCGTCGCTGAGTCTGAGTCGACATGAGGCAGCTCTCTGGTTCTCTTTCAGCGCTTTTGTGGATATAGTATACCAATACCTAGGCCTATCTGTCTATATGATACGTATCTGGGCCCACCCGTCTGTCTAATATTACCTGATGTCGGCCCACCCATCTAGGTAAAATTCCCAACTTCGGCCCACCCGTCTATGTAATATTTCCCTATGCGGCCCACCCGTCCATGTAATAAATAATTCACCTCACCCTCAGGCCCACCCGTCTATCTAATATTAACCCACATCGGCCCACCCGTCTATATAATAAATATTTCACCTCACCCTCGGCCCACCCGTCTATCTAATATACCCCTACATCGGCCCACCCGTCTATGTAATAAATAATTCGCCTCACCCTCGGCCCACCTGTCTACCTAATAATACCCCACATCGGCCCACCCGTCTAAGTAAAATACCCCACATCGGCCCACCTGTCTATCTAATATTTCCCTACGTCAGCCCACCTGTCCATCTAATATTTCTGTCATGAATGTTACCAACTGCATCTAAATTTCGATTATCAAACCCTAAGTCACCTTATCCGATAAGATTAGATTAGATAGATCCCTGATAAGATAAGATGGATAACCGATTAACGATCACTATCTTGAATTCACATCTATGCTATATCGACGTCATCCATCTATATCTGTAACCCTAGACATACGAACTCATCACATCCTTAGAAGTCCTACGATTAGGCAACGGGTTACATCATAAGCATCTACATGCCTCTATGATCGAACCATAACCGAGAGTCCTTTACGAGTTATCTCTCGAAGAGTCATCATCCTTTCACATCGCACACCTTCACTTCTCATGACATGTTAAGAGTTACCTCTGTCATTCACCGAACCCCTTACATCAGAACCTGTTGCACAGTCACAGCTAAACCCTGAACCCCTATCACAGAAGCATCGCTCATAGAGAAGCATGCTCATTACCGAAGACCCTGGAGAAACCCTTAGATACGATCGTACCCGATACATCTCCAGATCCTATCTCCTATCGAGATCCTTAATCACCGCTTGAGACTTCTAGTCACAGAACTCTCTCACACCCTTCTTAATCTCCGTCTACCCTGAATAGAAGCAGTCCCTGAGAACCCTGCTTAATTACCAATACCCTTAACCCTATGAACCCTCTACCCTTTCCCTCTTGTAGTTGATTGGTTGATAAGACGCCCTATACCCTAGGTGCAATGTTATGACCGTATATAGTTATATCACAACCTTTCATACTCAGCTATCTCCGCCTAGAGAGTAGTATATAGTTTAGGTCGTAGTCAGTAGTACTCCTTAGACTTAACCTCCTCGTTTCTACGTCATCGTAGGGCCTAGACGTTCCCTCTCAAATCTATCCTTGCCTTATCCTCTTCAGACTGAGTCCTGTGGTGTGATCCATACTCCAGACACCTACTAGTTAGGTTAAGGGACGCTGGTCATAACAATTTCCCTACGTCAGCCCACCCATCTATGTAATAAATATTCCACCGCTCCCTCAGCCCATCCGTCTACAAAATAATACTAATACGTCAGCCCACCCGTCTATATAATAATATTTGCTATACATCTCTCCTCAGGTCTATAATATATGTCAATCCTACTCTACATATTACCCACATGGGCCCACCCATCTCCATAATAATATTTCTCCCGGCCCATCCGCCATCATCGATGATATATATAACATCAGCATAGATGGGCCCACCCGTCAACATTGGAAATAATATTTCTCCCGGCCCACCCATCAACCTCGGGAATATACATAACATCGGCCCATAATCCACTGGCCCATATTACACGGGATATTATGTAGGTCGGGTGACCCGTATAGTACGGGATTTGTCACTGAAGGGGCTCATTGAGGTGCAGTCATCTTGAAGTTCTTGTGCTTTGAGAATGAATCAAAGGCTTGTTTACGATTCATTCCGAATTTCTTCTCAGCGATGAGGTTGCCAGAAAAGAGATTAAAGACATAGCAACTCTCCTTGGCGTCGCTGGATGTAAGAAGACACTGGACTTCACCTTCAAGCACTTTCATGTGAGGTGGGATTAACTTGAAGTCGATAGCTGTGGGCCATCCAAACATTAGTACTCGCTGGAGAAGCACTTCGCTCCAACGACACTTTGTGATTTCCAGGCAGATCTCGAGCTCTGTGTGAGCAACAGATACTGAAAATTGACCGTCAGCAGTGAGGTGAGCCTGGCGTGCATCAAGCAACTCTTGAAGCTGAGAACTAATATTAGTGGGAAGATTTTCGAAGCACCCATCTTGTGGGCATTTGAATAGTCCAGTGGCACGATCCTGTACCTTTTTATCACCATCAACCAGCAATAAGATCATGTGAGAATTCTTACACTGACGTCTACATTTCCATTGGTTTGTCCTGATGGTGGGGTCGTCTGCTGTTCAGTGATATCAGGCTCATCTTCAGATTCCTGTGTTGCAACCGTTAGTGAAAAGAATGTCTGACAATGGAGAAAATAGCTATCAGACCACAATCATGACACGTTTGCGCTTGAATTTGGCAGGTATATTCTCTGATGCCTCAACCCCTGTGCGCTGAACCTCCGCCGATATCAACTCATTAAACTCATCATCCGAACTGTTGTCAGCGTTCTGTGATACATACTGCTCAATCAGAACATATAGTTGTAACACAAACGAACACACCTTATTGCCCTTTGGAGGCTCCTTTGCCAGTAGGCTTGAAGCAGCCTTCGTACCAGAGGACTTGGGACATGCCCTGGATCCTTTTGACTTTAGATTGGTGATGGGTACCTTCATAACAGCCTTCTTTTCCTGGAACATGGCATGTGTTAGCGGTGTCCAACACGATAAACAGCCTTACTATAGCTATAATGTCAGCAGGTTTCTTCTTGGCGATTTTCTTGGGAGCCTTCTTCACTGACGCTGGTGTGTCATCGACACCCTCTTCACTCTCAGGTTCAAAGTCAAAGTCGTCCTGATCATCAGGCTTATGTCCATCAGGCAAGTCCAGCATCCTCCAAGACACGACAATGACTTACTATAGCAGGGGCTGTTTTCTTTTGGGTAGTCTTCCTAGCAATCTTCTTGGGAGCCTTCTTTACTGGCACCGGTGCGTGGTTGACGTCTTCTTCACTCTCGGGTTCAATGTCAAGGTTGTTCTAATCGTCAGGCTTATGTCCATCAGGCAAGTCCAGCATATCCTCCAAGACACAACAATGACTTACTATAGCAGGGGCCGTTTTCTTTTGGGTAGTCTTCCTAGCGATCTTCTTGAGAGCCTTCTTCACTGGCACCAGTGCGTGGTTGATGTCCCCTTCACTCTCAGGTTCGATGTCAAGGTTATCCTCATCATCAGGCTCATTACCTTCCTCATTGTGGCAGTCCTGTAATGTTAGTGGTATGATACTGTAGCTTATTATTATGAAAGATGATACCTTGTTCCATGAATCATTAAGTCGGTACTTAGCATTGTGCTTCTGATTGAGAAGCATACGTTTGAGGACATCATGAATCAGCCATCCATCTGCAAACTGCTGAAAGAATGGAAATTTAATCTGGACCTTTGTATCTGAGTGAGCAAATATCCAACCAGGGACTTGTCAGAGTACTCACCTCTAATACGACTTCATTGATAAGCGATGGGGGTTGTTGTCGAAAGGTCTTCTTCCGTTCCAATGTTGAGTTCGCAATAATGTGAATTTCATGCTAGAATATGTGATTAGCAAGTCAATGGTGATAGATTGAGCGCATATATCCACCATATAGCCATTGTAGCGTCCCTTGTCACCCTTCAGCCCCATTGCATCTCGGAGACTGTATCCACCAGCTGAAACCTTGCCAGCTGCACCCTGTGGTTTTGGAATAAGGTGCTTTCCGGAATGTAGAGCCGGGAGTGCATGCTTGCGGTGATCCACAACTACAGTAGTGCCTGAGCATTGACACGACTCTGCAAATCACAGACAGAATCACATACCATGAGGCCTGATAGTTGCCCATTTGGAAGTTGCATCTACACGTGTAATGGGACTGGAAATACGAGTGGATTTACCCTTTGAAATCTTTTGGGATGATTTAGAGACCATGGCTAGTGAGCGAAAGGGGTAAACACGTCCAAAGACGCGACACATCATGACCATTTCTGTAAAATTATGTAATACCTATAATTGGAAACCTCAGGCTGCTTACGAGTTGGATCATGTGCTGACTCTTGACATCCAGCTTCGACTAGCTCGAGAGTCAGTGACACGATCTATTGGGCTGGGCTGGGCCGAGCATTAGCTCAGGACGGGATGCAAGCAGGTGGAGCCGCTGGGTGGGCGGGACAACTGCTTATGAATTCGATCGTGTCTAATAACTCTTCGAGTAGCAATAATTGGGACGGTAAAGTGCCATTGATAGGGCAGGCTATAAAACATATGACTAAACAATTTACTAGGAGCAAAATTACGGTGTGATAAAATCAAAGGGAGTGGTGGGCGGGTATAAAGAAAATTGTTTGAGCGAGTGAGGAGTGTAACGAACGACGAACTCGATGTTGTGGCAGAGAGGAAAGAACAAATGGAGGAAGCGAACAGCGCAGCCGCTCAGCTGGACGCATGGTGCCGGGATATCCTGGCGACATGGGTGAGGGCTGTGTATGGGACATAGTGGTACTGCTTAAAAGCATCCTTGACTTTGGGGGGAATGGCTGTAGTGAGGCTTGTTAGAGACTGCATTTCAGAACGGACAAATATGAGGAAATGGACGGTGCGGCAGGAGAAATCCTTGCCCAAAAGAGACACAAGTGCCCTATAGGCTGATGGTACGGTACGGTGTGGTGAGCACGCTACGGCTGTAACCGCTTGACAAGTGCATCGTGCATGTAATATATGGTACGGAGTATGCAAAAGGGCGGTAGGATGACTCACGCAAACTCAGTGCGCTCACTTTGTGCCCTGGTTGGAGAGCAGGTAAGGTGAGACATTTAGACTCTTCCTTAGCACTTGCTATATTTGCCCGAATCCGTTCAACAGCTGCAGGGTCTGCGATTAAGGCCTGCTGAGGGGCAGGAGCTCTGGCCAGTAAAAGGATGCTGTGAGCTTCGCCACACTCGGCAATTCATGCCCTTAAGGCAGCAATTTCATCTGCAGGTGTGGTAGCGACTTGGCGCTGAGCAGCTGCAGGCTGCGCTAATGTCGGCTGTGGTGGAGGCGGCTGAGCTGGCTGGGGAGCCGAATTAGTCGCTGCAGCGCGCACGACTGGGGGCCGAGCCTGCTGAGAAGCGGGCTGCTGAATGCCCTGCATGCTTGGTTGCTGTGCAGTGATTGCATCGGCGGAGTGAGGATGACCAGGGTGAGAACAGAGCCATTGCAGGTCTACAGAAATATGTAAGAAGGCTGTCTAGAGAAATAGCGTGTGGCTTACCTAACGGGTGAGTGTCGTACGACCGATATGAAGAACGTACGGACATCGCCGAAGATATTAGCATGGGCACGAGCAGCAGGCTGCTGGAAAGCACTGTACGTCCTGGCCGCACAAGGTGCCAATACCGAATCGATGTTGTGTTGTTGCTGCACATGGGTAACAGATAGGAGAAGACTGGTCAGATGGAGAAAGTGAAGTGTGGAGTTATTCGAGGATGCTACCAGATCATAAGTGTGAGCGCGCCAACCTACAGCGCCACCAACACCTCCCTGGTGCTGAAGTTGACGTCGTCTGAGACCTCCTCAATGTGGTTGCACAGCTGGCACCTCACAAGCAGTAGTATAACCTAGAATGACATGTAAAGTTAGTAGTAAATTTTTTTTGAGTGTTCCCAGGGCGTCTTAGCACTCAGGGACCTAGAAGCACAAGATAACGGTGGACGGTGTAGGGAGTATCCCTACGCTAGGCTCGTATCCACCACTTTTCCGATGCATCAGACGTCCATCCGACACCTATCCATTCCATCCGATACACATCTGCTTTTCAGATGACATGCAGATACCTTCGGATCTCCCCCTATAGCTCGCACATCCACCACATCTGTCCTGTCCACGTCCATTCTACCTCATTGGTACGTACTCACACGCATTTTCTTGTTACTGACTGAACACAGACATATCCTCTCACACCTCATTGTATTTTTTGGATAGCTTATGGCATGGTCTATACTTGCTACCTATATATCTATGTTCCTTGAAAATACTGTACCCTATAAGCATGGAGGGTTTCGGAAAATACTTACTTCATGTAACTTTCTCCCACTTTTCCTGCACCCTACCAGAAGATCGCTTTGACTTATACTCACTATCCATCTAACCTTTAAATGAACTTCCTTCAACTTTGATTCACATCTCGTCCAATCCACAAGTGCCATCCACTCCATCCAACGAATCTGTACGTTTCGCATCCTATCCGCTTCATCCGCTTTTGCAGATCTTTCATCCTGTAGGGTCGTTTTAGACAGAGACTAGTATTCCCCAGTAGCAATCCCCTTAAGGGTCGAATGCACTTGTTCCCAAGCAAGGCAGCAGGCAGCGAAGACCCAACTGTGTAGTAGATCAATTTCTCTCTGCTGCACTTGTTGTACCCACAACGGTCATGGATCAGAGCCTGAGCGTCTGAAACTGTCCCACTAAGGGGAGCCATGCGTGGTGCTCGTATTGGCAACTGGAATGAGGCTTCGAACGCCCAGTGGTACTAACTGAAGAACAAGAACACGAAGTTTGAAAACTTGGTTCAACAAGATCACGTGACTTTCAAACTCCACTGGCAAATTCTGACAGCACGCTGAATGATCAACAATGTTTAATGTCAGCCAGCACATGCGCGCCAGTATCTCCTAGACTCTGCAACGTGTATTGTCTCCTCTTGCTGGCATTTATTCTCAGCTAAATGCAACGACTCAACCAACAACTAGTATGTTCTATCTGATGTTGTATTCTAACCACTTTTCTTCACTAGCGAACCAGTATGCTCGCAACCACGGAAAAACACTGTTTGTGATATACCATCTTCAAATGCTTGTGTTCGAGGGAGCAAGGACTCTCTGGGGTTGTCACCACTGTGAGTACTCGCCTGCGCTATGTTTTCTTCTTCCTGTCCTTCTCCTTCTGCCTACCAATTCCCAGCAGAGAATCAACGCTGATCACAGACCCACAAACGACACAGCAGAGTCCACCATGCCTACCTCAACGCGTCCAACACAGTCCAAGTCACTTCAATGGCTACTTCATTGTTGGTACTGAAAGTCAGCATTGCTCTGGGTTGCTACTAACACTGCAGTCTTGGATGACAGCGGCTGCCCACATACTTTAGAGCAGTAAATAAAGTGTCCAATTAATTTATAACCATAGCCTAATGTTACCAAAAGTCTTGTCTTCATGGGTTCGGAACATACCCATACAGGGCATCATAGACCATCTTGCGAATCACAGTGAGGATCTCAGTTGGAAGACGGCACATGAGTCACCACTGCACCCCATGCTGCTAGCATGGAGAGATATTGTCCTGGTGTGTTCTGTATCTACCTCCCTTTTAAATTCCCATGCTCTATGGCCAATAACTGTGGCCAGGAGGTTTTGAAACGCTGCAGGCACCCTGGATGCTACAAATTCCTCAAACAGGAGACTCGAAGAAAACACTATGCTCGTATCAATCCCAATGATATACTGCCATCTGACTTGGGTAGCGATTCAGATATGGATGACTCGGATGAACACTCAGATGAAGATGAAGATGCCCAAGTTGGCACTGCTATTGTGGCACCTGTGGGTGATCCTATGGTTGTTGACTGGCTTTCACAGGATGCAAGTGATGAGGAAGATTTGAGGTTAGCAGCCTCAGAAGGCGATCAAGACATTCCAGATCTCTCACATGATATGGTTCACTCATCCGCGTCATCTGATGGTGTTGTTGAGGAGGCTGAAGAGTTTGTGTTCAACAAAGGGGATAATGACCCTCTCATTCAGCATACATTAGAAGAGATGCTCCAGCAGCTGCGAGACTGGCGTGTTCCTGAATGGGAAATCAATTTGTATGAGCACTGTACGTTGTTGCTAAATCCATCACTGTCCACACTTTGAGTTTTCAATATCAATAGGGAATTTGCTTCTCACCGATGAAGACAAGGATAATATCAGGGCATTTCAATTAAAAATCACCTGTAACATGCCTCGACGTGTTTTCAACCACATGCACAATACATTTCGCCACAAGATAACCATTGATTCAGAATGGGTCATTCTACATAGGGTCGCAATCCTGTCTGGCATCCAGCCTATTAACTATCATTGCTGTATCAACTCATGCATCGCCTACACCAATGACTATGCGGACCTCGATGATTGTCCTTTCTGTGACGAGCCACGGCACTTGTTGAATGGACAACCACAACACATATTCTCCTATATTCCCCTTATCCCTCGTCTTCAGGCACTGTTTCAGAGCCCGTCTACCATTGGTCGCTTGTCTTATTGCCGAGGCTATGAGCATGAACCTGGCTTGATACATGATGTCTTTGATGGTCAGTGGTACCGCACACTCCTTCAGAAGCATGTTGTCGTGGATGGTGTCGAGCAAGACCATACATACTTCTCTGGAAAGCATGATATTGCTTTATCCCTTGCTGCAGATGGGTTCCTGTTGTTTGATCGGAGGCGTAGTGGGCCATCTGCTACTCCCATTATCCTGCAGAATCTCAACCTGCCACCACAGTCACGAACCCACCTTGAGAATATCATTTGCGTTGGTATCATACCGGGCCCCCACTCAACCCAAGGACATAGCTTCATTTCTCACTCCCTTGGATAACAAGCTTGCAGATCTTGCAATGGGTGTCAAAACATTTGATTCCTCAGATTTGTCTAACTTCTACCTCTACGCATTTCTAATTTTCAAGAATGGCGACATCGTTGCGATTGAAAAGCTGCTTGACATGAAAGGTCACAACAGCTACTGCCCATGTCAGTCATGTAAAATCAAGGGTGTTCAAAATATCACTGCTGGAGGCAAGGTCTACTATTCACCACTGACAACACCGCAATGTGAACATCAAACTCGACCATCTGCAGATCCCCGCCAACTACAGATGCATACCCATCATCATTTTATCTCTGTTGTAGAGAAAATCGACTCAGCTCAATCACAGAGGGAGAAAAACAACATCATGAAGCACTATGGCATACGAGGCCCACCTGCACTCCACCGTGTTGGTTCCTTGAACTATGCAATATGTGCTCCTTGGGAATGAATGCACCTTCTCCTCGAGAATGTGGTTCCTGGCCTTGTCAAGCTCTGGACAGGGAACTATGAGCTTGTGCCTCATATCTGGGAGGAAATTGGTCAAGAAACTGTTAATGCGATCAAAACAATTCCCGCATCCTTCATCCGCGTTCTTGGAAATATTGCTGAGAACCGCTCAAGTTTTACAGCCGAATCATGGGGCTTTTGGTTCATTTACCTGGCACCCATCTTGTTGAAAGACCGCTTTCCAGATGACAAGTATTATGTACATATGTGCAAGCTTGTTAAGCTGATGAAAAGTACCATTAAGCTTGAGTTGACAACAGATGAAGTTGATGAATTAGAAGAAGGGTTTGCACAGTGGGTCCAGGAGTACAAAGAGTGAGTATGTTCAACTGTCAAGTTATCACCTGCTGACCTGTACTTTTATGTCAGGTACTATTATCAATATGAAGAAGACCATCTTTCAACATGCACACTGCCCATTCACGGCTTGCTCCACGTGGCCAATGACGTAAAGAACTCAGGTCCTGTCTGGGTTCACTGGACTTTCGTCATGGAGCGCTTTTGCCATTTTGTGAAGTCAAACATCCGATCATGCCGTCACCCTTGGAGCCAACTCTCACGACATATCTTGTATACTGCATACTTGAGTCAGCTCCGGACCAAATTTGATTTAGAGGATGAGCTTGAAACAATGAGTTATCGGAGAGCGCCTGGACTTCAAAGGAATGAAGTAATGATTGATGGATGTACGTGTTCAATTTTATTGTGGGGGTGATACTGAATGTACATCTACTAGATCCTGATCAGGTACTCCGAGCACCTCATCGTCTCACTCATACACCAGATGCAGACACACGAAGATGAATTGGTATATATTTGCTGCCATTTTTCAGAATAGACATGGCTGGAGTCAAGTCGTTGCCTTACTGCCGAAGAATATGCAAATCTGGGGAAAGATGCAAATTGTTGGTGGTGATAACATCCAGACATCACTCACTCTCAAGAAAGCAACTTGTAACATGGAAACATACAGAAACAATAGTTACATTTGTGTGCGTGCAATCAGTACAACGTGGTTGTGACAACATATGTACTGACCCAACTCAGTATGAGGTTACTTATGATGGTGGACACACTGTCATCTCTTACGGGCGTTTAGATCAGATCCTAGTTTGTGACCTTGGACCTGATGCAATCTGGGGTGAACTTTGTAACACCTCTTGTATCCTTGCACTGGTTACTCCCTGCCAAACATATGGAGCCGATGCATCAAAGGATGTTGTTGAATTCAGAGCATATGCCCAACCTGTTATTATGACATTCGTAATGTCAAAGCTACCGTGGGATGTGTAGAAACAAGGAGGAAATGGGGAATCATTGATCGCAGTACTAGCTTGGTAAATGCAGTCTTCGACAACCAAGATGCTACGTTGGCCAGCTCAGTTTGACTAGTTTCCCTAACTTATAGATTGCTTTTTGCGTTACCATGGGTGTCCAATGCGACCATGTGTGATATACAGTAATATAACTATAATGCACTGAAAATCGGTTCACATGCACTGAAAAACAGTGCGTCAAAACTGTTTCAACTAAAATTCAGTGGTTGCGAAGATGCACTGAATTTCCAGGGCAACTGAAGTTCAGTGGTCAAATCCACTGAAGGAATGGCATTGTGGTGTTTGCTCCCTAACGACGAAGGACAGCGTAGACTTGAGCGATTGAGAGGGTTGATGAGAGGACAAGTCTTGGTCCGAGTGTCACTGTTTCAAGTGATCGTGCTTTTTCTATTTTACCTATCTATTTGTTATCTATCTTATCACAAGCTTCATACATCGCAATAGTATTTAGAGTCGCGAAACTGTACTGAAAGCTACTTAGTATTCTTCCAATCTATCCGGACTGGTATCTGGTTACTTGCGATAGAGTCTCTAAGTTGTGCCGTCATCTAAAGTCTTACCAACTTCTACCTGCCGTCACATATTTTTAACCTTCAACCAACCCATCTCCTTTTCTTGACTCTTTCAAAAACAATATAACCATTCGACAAACTGGTCTGGCCCACCATGTTACTCGAATAACCCACATATACACAGAATGACTTCGACTTCTACCTATAATCTCCGATTGCGAACACGCGCTAGAGCCAGCTCTGTTGGCACGCCTGCAGAAGAAAAGAATTTCAAGGTAAGTGATGAGTTCGGCAATCTCGTCGTTAACCTACTATCTAGCGCGAAAACCCCGGTGGAGGGCCCGAGCCGAAAGGCTGTGCTGCCCAACTCTGGGGGATCCCCCTTAACCTTGGTGGGGCGGTCCACGGAAAGTGAGACCGAAAGAGAGACCTCATCTGTACCTAAATCTGTTCGCTTGTATAGCGATGTGGTTAGTGTGCGTAGCCCCAGAATCAACCCCTCGGTTGACTGGGAGAATAACATAGCTATAGATGCAGTTCTTAGCGTGGAAATAGCAGATGAAAATGAAAACAACTCACCTGCTGAAAGGACGAACGGGAACATGATGTTCGAAACGGCGAACGAAAGAGTGAGCCGTCTAGCGATGAAGAGGGTGGTGACGACCACACCTGGACTACGATCCGTCGTAAGAGAAATTCCAGGACAGAGACTCCTGGATCACTGACCAGTGAGCAAAGAAAAGCGGTCAGCGAAGCTGAATGAAGACTCACCGAGTCAGAACGAAAGAAACTCGAGAAACAAAAGAATAGTGTCAATCAGAACCCTACCGATACGGAGACTTCAGACACAGAGTCAAGAGGCGAATGACCATCCAAGGGAAAAGGAGTGGACCCTCAGAACTGGGGCGCTATAACCTTGGAAGAAGAAATAGACATAGAAGAACAAAGGGCGGCTCTGGCGTCCTATAAGCTAGCCAAAGACATAACTCGACCATCAGTTACAGCATCCGATACTGGCGGAGAGACGGACACAGATGCAGGAGGACTGATTCAGAAAAAATGAACAGATGACCGCCTAGCGCAAGCGGCTGAGAACAAGAGGGCTATAGATGCCGCAGTCGCTAAAGCCGAAAGTCGGCTACGCAAAGAATATGAGAAAAAGATAAAAGAGCTTATGAAAAGTAAGAACCAACCTGAGAGAACCTCCAGAAAAACCCGCCTAGTGGACCCAGTCAGAACCTTGGTAGACAAGGTGGTCAACCCCACATCAGACAGACACGAGAGGAGGTGCACCCCCCAAGCAATGGAACCAGTTCACCAGGTGGCGCCTAGGTCCTATATAGGTCAGGCGCTGGGGAGAATTGGCAAAAGAAATGGAGGAGATCCAGACTCCTCCGACTCGGAAAGTGAAACCTCGTCTAGCAGCTCGGAGAGCTTGAGCATAAACCATAGCTTGGCCCGTTCAAGTGATGGCGCTGCCGGAAGAAGGAATAAGCGAAAATTGAAGAGGAGAAAATCCAAACGAAAGAGTGAGACAACTCTGAAGCCAATCCCACCTACCTCGTATGATGGTGCTGTGGACTCCAGAGCATTCCATAGGTTCATCACTGAAGGAACCGCCTATGTGGAAGACGGTAAGGTGGAATCGAAAAAACGAGTCTTCGTGCTGTCGCACTACTTGAAGGGCAAAGCACATGAGTTTTACATATGTGAGGTGTTGGGAGACCCTTACCGTTGGCGGCTCCAGGAGTTCTTCACCGAGATGTTCAACTACTGTTTCCCCATAAACTTCAGGATGAAACAAAGAGAGAAGTTGAAACGCTGCTTTCAGAATGACAAGCCTGTACGAGACTACATATACGAACTCAACAAACTCTGGAATATGATTGGGGACATTGATGACTGAGACCGGGTGACTCGTCTATGGACTGGGTTGAACACTGAAATTCAGCAAGAACTCTGGAAAAAGGAGTTAAATCCGGAAATATCTACCTTTAAAGAGGTACAGGTGGCAGCAGAAATCATCGAAATAGCTCACTCAGTCCCTCAAGGGAGAGAGAGAGAAAGATGAAATGGTCGAAAGGAAAAACCAGCTATAACAGTGGGATCCAACGCCATAACTCCTGCGAGACCCCCGTTCAAAGCCTGGACCACCAGACCCGCAGGGTCGTCGAGAAGGCCAAGGGAAAGGCAAGCGAACCAACCGGATAATATCCGGGCCCAAAGACCCAATGGAGGGGGATTCGATAGAGGGGCCGGCAAGAATGTCAATAGACCGGGAGATGCCCTAAGCCCAGCTGAGCGGGACTGCCACCGGGTAGAAGGCAGATGCTTTGTTTGCGGGGAACTAGGGCACGTCTCTCGACTGTGCCCCAAGAATACGCACGTCAAATCGGACGTACCTAACAGACCCCCTGGAATACCCAGCTTCAGGGTTCACATCGCCCAGAGCGATGAAGAACGAATGAGATGACTAACAGAGACAACGGAACCTGCAGAAGGGG